TGAGTATGGCTTTATGCCGCTTTTAGCAATATCCCAGCAATATCACGGCGGGGGACACCAGAAATGGGCTTCACACATTGTACCCACGTCGGGAATCGAACCCGGGTCTTCGGTGTGACGAGCAAACGCTTTAACCACTAGGCTACCCGACCGCCCCGGTCATTTTATAATCAAGAGCAATTCTATACTAAGCTGGTGACCATGGAGATCGAGCTGGTGAAGTAACCTAGGAAACAAAGGTATGCTGGCGACTGGGCCCAAGGGCACATCATGGACACATGATACACTGGAGAATCAATGATGATGACAGGCACTTGTAGCAGAAAATAACAAAACATACGTAAATAAAAAATAAAAAAAACCACTGCAATATGTCTCTGGTTATGTCTGAGACAAGATACAAGTGCCTGTGCGTGCTCTGAGTCATCTTAGCACTGAGACCTATGGTGGCCGTTGTGCTCTGAGTCATCTTAGCACTAAGACCTATGGTGGCCGTTGTGCTATGATGGCATTGACTGAGATGAGCTGAATGAGATGTTTTAAAACAAGGTTCACAGCAAACAAATCATTTGTTCTTTTAAAACCCCTTATCCATTGTCCCAAGTAGAGTTTTGGGGAGGTTGTGGAATTTTTCAGATCATGAACATGTTACTATATAAGGTACATAATAATAATAATAATGTCGCCAGTGAATGCTCATGCCACTACTACCCTGGTCAATGGAACAGTCAGGATTCAATTTACATTTTCAGCTCCCTGGGGAGTATACACCACAGTATATCTTAAACTACTTTGCCAAAAGGCTAAGGATTAATATAGGCCTCAGCAAAACCATAAAGTCTAAAAAATATATATTTAAAATTTAGTCTTCCATATGAACTACCAAAAATGTTATCAAATCAAGTCTGTGTTCTCCTGTCTCTCTGAAGAACAGATAATTAATATGCTGTGACCTCAATACTGTACTAGTCAACATTTGCTATGGGCCACACCTTGGACAAAAGATGACTATTTTTGTCCTTAGCAAAATGTTGAGTAGTGTTTTGTTCCCATATTTGATTAAAGTTAATATGCTGATTGAAGAATAGACGTATTAATAATTTCATTCCCATCACTTATCAGGACAGCCCCAAAATAAACAAAAATAGTTATATCAAAAAATTGTTTACTTTTGTTGTCAAGCCAGACCACTTGTTTGTATTGTGTTACCGATTGTCTTGACCAATACAAAATGAGTACAAACAAAATGCTTTTGGTGCTGAGTTATATCGAAAAGCACAAATAAGAAAAAAACCCATAGAGGCAACAACCAAAGAATTTTGGCTGCCATTTTGAAAATACCTGTTGACTTAAGGTCTACTTTCTTAAGTTCTTGAAATAAAAACATGTGAAGATAATAGAAAGAAAAAGTTGAAACAAGCTACATTTCAGATCAAAAATAATCTTGCTCATTTTAAAAAAACACATCTCAATCGAAAGAAACAAGAAACAAAATAGGTCTGGCCTAAAAAATTGTAAACCTCCAAATCTCATGGTGAAGAATAAGTTGCCTGAAGAGGTGCACAAAAAAACTCATGGCGCAAAAACCTGCCACTAAAATAAAACACTCCTGTCAGCTGTTTGTTGTTAACCATCTCCCACAAGTAGTGCTAATGATATACCAAGTCGTGTTAGTATTTGTTGCCATGGCAACAAGTGAGCAGCAACACTAAAACAATCAGTACTACAACAAAACTTACTTGACATAGTGGGTGATGGCGCTGTTTAAAACAAGCATGCTTATCGTCAACATAAAGTGGCCACAAAAATCGCAAGGGGGTTCAAGGTCATTCACACAAATCCTTGATGTGACTTCAAATGCTGAACATTGTACCAGTTATTAAAACCTTTTGTCTGAAGCTTGATATAGACAAGTGACTTGCAGCTATATAGCTACATACACTTACACACAAAACACACAGCCCCAACAATACACACAGCCACAGCAACACACACAGCCACATCAATACACACAGCCAAGCATACACAGCCACATCAGTACACAGCAACACATACAGCCACAATACACACAGCCACAGCAACACACACAGCCACATCAGTACACACAGCCACAGCAACACACACAGCCACAGCAATACACACAGCCACAGCAACACACACAGCCACAGCAATACACACAGCCACATCAGTACACACAGCCACAGCAACACACACAGCCACATCAGTACACAGCAACACACACAGCCACAATACACACAGCCACAGCAACACACACAGCCACAATACACACAGCCACAGCAACACACACAGCCACATCAGTACACACAGCCACAGCAACACACACAGCCACAGCAATACACACAGCCACAGCAACACACACAGCCACAGCAATACACACAGCCACATCAGTACACACAGCCACAGCAACACACACAGCCACAGCAACACACACAGCCACATCAGTACACAGCAACACACACAGCCACAATACACACAGCCACAGCAACACACACAGCCACATCAGTACACACAGCCACAGCAACACACACAGCCACATCAGTACACACAGCCACATCAGTACACACAGCCACGCATACACAGCCACAGCAATACACACAGCCACATCAGTACACACAGCCACAGCAATACACACAGCCAAGCATACACAGCCACATCAGTACACAGCAACACACACAGCCACAATACACACAGCCACAGCAACACACACAGCCACAGCAACACATACAGCCACAGCAACACACACAGCCAAGCATACACAGCCACATCAGTACACAGCAACACACACAGCCACAATACACACAGCCACAGCAACACACACAGCCACATCAGTACACACAGCCACAGCAACACACACAGCCACAGCAATACACACAGCCAAGCATACACAGCCACAGCAATACACACAGCCACATCAGTACACACAGCCACAGCAACACACACAGCCACAGCAATACACACAGCCAAGCATACACAGCCACAGCAACACACACAGCCACAGCAATACACACAGCCAAGCATACACAGCCACAGCAATACACACAGCCAAGCATACACAGCCACATCAGTACACAGCAACACACACTCAGTCTCCCTCTCTCTCGCACACACACACGCACACACAGTGCAACACAGCTCAATCAACAATACACACACACACCAATACCCCAACAGCCACAGCAACACACCCACAGTTACACGCACATACACAATATGAGGTAAAATATTTTAAGGAGGTCAAATTTCAGTGACATCTGAAGCACCATGCAATGTGTGAATGTCAATCAACCCTGTCAATCAAACAACTTCAGAAGACATTTCAACTTTGCATGAGTAAAGTGACATGGAACATCTTCCAAAATGCAACCTGGAAGCGAACATGAATTGTTAATTTCAGGTGAGAAACTGTAACTCAGGTGGTGAGTTTGGTAGTTTTGAACACAAATGTTATACTAGTATAAATAAACATTAAAATCAAGTTAATAATTTCACACTATTTGAATTTGTTTGAGGAGTAGCAAAAAATAGAAGAATAAAAATAACAGTAGCTCTTTAATTTTTCTTGCGAAAATATACAATTTTTTCAAATACAATCTTTTCTGCTTTTTGCTCCTAAAAATCAAAATATGCAATTGTTGATACTGTCTTCACAAAAAACTATACTAATGACTTAAAACACAATTTTGTTCTACAAAATATAAATAGTACTAATTCCAAGAATACAAATTCATGTAATTACTGAATGAAAAAAAACCACATTAAATAATAACATTGGAAAAATAAGAAATCACATTAATACTAGCAACTTACAATAATATATACCTGTACAGATCTAAAATATTTCACGACAACAGAGAATTAATTTATCATGCACATACAAGAAACAGATAATCCTCTTAAAGAAAAAATAAAATAAATTCATAATTAATAAGGATTTTACCAGTTACAAAATTGTCAAATTTATTTTAACACACTATTCAAACAGATTTGCAGGGATAATTCTATGGTGGGGCCTTGAGCTTTGAGCCCCTAAATTTGAGAAAAGGCCCACATTTTCAATACAGTGGGGCATTTTAACATTGTGCTGTATGGGCAAGTGTTGGTGTACCTCTGGAATATTTGAAATGTTCACATAAAGGGCCCATGTCAGAAAATACCTACAGTGAACCCTGGATTTGTTACATAACCCCTTTATGAACAAGTGATGTTTTATGTTCAAGATGTAAGCATTCTGTTATCTTTCTATTTAAGCCAATGAGATGATAACACAGAGGCCATTGTCCAATCAGAGCTTCCTGGTTAAAAAAAACTGTGAGACAATTAAAACATTAAAACATATCCAAAGGAGACAAAAGTAGAAAGGACTGCTACAATAAGTTCTATATCTGTCCAACTAAGTGATGAGGATGTTACAAGGAATCATCAAGATAACCAGGATACTGATGCTGGTCGACACTGACAATACGTTCATTATAGCACATATGTTTATACCACGGCAACATCGGGATCCCTTAATGTAATTATTAATTGAACCTACTTACCTATATGTCTATTATTTATTTGAGTGAAGTGCAATGGAGAGTAGGAGTAATTGCTTGTTAGATCAAGCCACACAGGGGTGTTAGTCATGACTGGCAGACTCAGTGAGTGAGTGAGTGAGTGAGTGAGTTGGGTTTAAACCTCTTTGAGCAATATTTCAGTTACACTGTACGCCAGCTTACTGTGGGAGGAATGTCTGAAGCGATGGGTAAAAACCAACCTGCTCATACTTGGTCCCTACAGACCATAGAAAGTCATGGAAATCTGGGATTTGATCTCATGACCAGAAGATCCTGGTATTGGTAAGGGACACAACTCTGCTCAGTGACTCTGACTTTCAGGGCATTTGTTTCATGGGACCGAGTGTGGGGGGGGGGAGGCGGGGAGGGAGGCAGGGAGGGGGTTGTGTTTGAGGGTGAGCAGATAAGGCTGGAACTGCTCACCTGACAACAGACATGAGGTTGTCTTTGCTTCTAGAAAAAGATACTTTGAATAACTTTGGGTATATATGGGGGAAAGGTTGATGGGATAAAATTGAAAAAAATAAATCAAATATATAAATTGGTAAAAGTTATGTTAAATAATGTTTTATCTTGAACAAAAGCTAGAGATTTATACAAATAAATAAAATACCAGTTCCGGTTAATGTAATATGAATTGATTTTTAATTCTAGCTTATCTCTCTTAAAACAAATATTAAGACCATAAATTGAAGAAAGAAAAACGTTTTAAAAATATTGAAATGAAGATGTAGAAACAGTGATATTTATTAAAAAAATCAATTACGTTCTGCACTGCCTGTAAACCAGAAAGGATACTTAGTATATTCCTTGGGGAGAGATGCTTATCAATATATATATAAAACTCATAACACTCCAACCAAAAAAGACTTCTGATTATTCAAGACAGAAGGGAAGCCAAACGTTTTCAGTGTGTGAGTGGGATCAGAATTTATCATCCAAAACATGCTTCCACAGAGATGTCGTTTTGGTGAGTTTAAAATTTAATGACATCAAAATGCTGTGCAGACTGTTGTGATGTCATCAGTTACCATGACGCACAACCAAATGACATCCCTAATCTGTCTGCCACTGAAACTGGTTTGCTGGATTTTTTACACTCAAGACACGGGTCTTTGCTGTTTACAAAAGTGAAAAGGTTGAAGAATGATTTTGGATGATAACTAGAATCTCACCCTCACGTGTTCCAAGCTCAAATACATCAAGACTCGTTGATAAAAGTAAAACTATCCTCACCAAGCCTTGGACATTTATAACTTTTATCAACTCATCTTGAAATAGTTATCTTGGAAGACACCCAGGGGAGATTCTTTATATTATTTGTCTTAAAGTCAAACAAGCTGTTTCCTTAGGATGATATTGCTGATGGTAGATGCCAGAGAGCCTAGAATATTTTGCGATTACAAATTGTGGTAACTGTTGTCCTGCACATAGCCTACGCTAGCTTCAAGACAAAAGGCCTAAATCCCAACTTAGCGTGATCAATCTACAGAACACCGTGAGTCAACTGAAAATGTTATGTTTGCACTACACAACCAACTAGACTTACTTTGGGTCTCTGATCAGCTCAAAAAAAAGGGAGATTACTCTAAACTGTGCAGTTCAACTTACGTGGTTGATTTGAAGATGGTGGTATCCTGCCCGCAGACCGGCCGAAGAATGAACATCCAAGAAGTCGTGCTCGCTCTGTTATAGGCCTGGAATTGAAATTTGAGAAAAACATGAACAATGACACATACCCCAATTCCTCTCACAACCTGCTCACACCAACATGTATTGGAAATGATAACTCTCAAGCAATCATTTTTTTAGCTGATTCATATCTCCAATGCATTTCTATACACAATGAATATAAAAATAATTTCCTTCAAAATACGAAATAATACTTCCTCTTTTTGTAAGCCTAGCTCTAGATGTTATACTGACTGACTGACTGAGTATGGTTTTACGTCGCTTTTAGCAATATTCCAGCAATATCACGGCGGGGGACACCAGAAATGGGCTTCACTCACTGTACCAATGTCAGGAATCGAACCCGGGTCTTTGGCTACCCGACCGCCCCTCTAGATGTTATAAGAGACTGGATATTTATTACAGGGATGAGGGTGTGTGTGTGCGGGGGGAGGGTGGGTGGGTGAGATTGGTCTTAGGCCACCCCATAATCTCACCATTCCCCTTCCCCTATAAAACTTACCAGTCTCTACTTAGCGTTTTGTGTGAAACCCAACCAGTACCCAGTCTAGATCAATACACATCAAAATATTCAATTTAGAAGCAATAGAGCTATGTTTGCATGGTCATGCTTAGTAGGACTACCAATTGACTCAAACTTAATCTGTAAGGCATAAACATAACATTTTGTGATAAACATTAGTTAAACACGTTCAGATCTGTTTATGTCTTTGTAATGGGTTATAATTCTACCATCCACTCTCACCTCTTCTTTTTAGGAGATCCATTCAATATGGCTTCTTTATTAGCGAGCTCCATCTCCTGAACATACTGCCTCTGGGTCTTGAAGTAGGTTCTCCGTACACTGCAAGTTGATCAGGTCAATCAGCACAATGGAACAACACGGTTCCCATCTTCATGACAGAACAACACTGTTCCCACTTTCATACCAGAACAACACTGTTCCCAGTGTCATGACAGAACAACACTGTTCCCACTTTCCTGACAGAACAACACTGTTCCCACTTTCATACCAGAATAACAATGTTTCCACTTTCATGACAGAACAACACTGTTCCCAGTGTCATGACAGAACAACACTGTCCCCACTTTCATACCAGAACAACACTGTTCCCACTTTCATACCAAAACAACACTGTTCCCACTTTCATGACAGAACAACAATGTTCCCACTTTCATACCAGAACAACACTGTTCCCACTTTCATACCAGAACAACACTGTCCCCACTTTCATGACAGAACAACAATGTTCCCAATTCATACCAGAACAACACTGTTCCCACTTTCATGAGACAACAACACTTTTATCAGTTTTTACCAGCAACAGCTGGGGTTCAGGACATTGACAGCTGAAAGCTCAGGACATGTCCTGGTGGTTTCTAGAAGTTCAGGACGTCCTGGTGGTTTCTAGAAGTTCAGGACGTCCTGGTAATTTCTAGAAGTTCAGGACATGTCCTGGTGGTTTCTAGAAGTTCAGGACATGTCCTGGTGGTTTCTAGAAGTTCAGGGCGTCCTGGTTACAGCTGCACTGTTTGTGCCATCTCACTTACACTTTCCAGGAGAAGTCTCGGAGGAGGGAGGCGAAGGGGATGATGACAAGGCCGAGCCAGAACACTGAGCAGCCGTAGACGTGACGGTCCTGAAACAGAGACACTTGCTGCATTATCTGGGGTACCATCAGGGTCCGGAGGCAGCTCATCATCCGTTCATGTCTGGTTGGATGAAATGGACTGTTACAACATTCAATCTTAGCCTGTGCAGACTTGAACAACTCACCATTCCCAACATCTCTGGAGCCAGGTTGATGGTTGGGAAGACGTGACTGTAGACGACAAGGAAGAGGAACCAGCAGACGATGCTGCCCCAGATTGCCAGGTGGGTCAGCTGCACAAACATACATCACACCATGAAACATTCATTGGTCAAACAACAGAACTTGTCTTGGAATTACAATTTACTTATAAACCATACAAAAGTCGTCATACTTTAACAATGATTGGACACAAATGAGCATTGTAACATAACACATAGGTTTATTTCTAGATAAATCTAAATATAAAAAGACATTATGTAATTCAGAAGAATCCATGTGACTAATCCCTTTCTCACAGTAGACTGAACCCACATGACAAAGTAGACTGAACCCACATGACACAGTAGACTGAACCCACGACACAGTAGACTGAACCCACATGACACAGTAGACTGAACCCACATGACACAGAAGACTGAACCCACAACACAGTAGATTGAACCCACGTGACACAGTAGACTGAACCCACATGACACAGTAGACTGAACCCACATGACACAGCAGAGTGAACCCAATTGACACATTAGACTGAACCCACATGACACAGTAGACTGAACCCACATGACACAGCAGAGTGAACCCAATTGACACATTAGACTGAACCCACATGACACAGTAGACTGAACCCACATGACACAGTAGACTGAACCCACATGACACAGTAGACTGAACCCACATGACACAGTAGACTGAACCCACATGACAAAGTAGACTGAAACCACATAACACAGTAGACTGAACCCACATGACACAGTAGACTGAACCCACATGACACAGTAGACTGAACCCACATGACAAAGTAGACTGAAACCACATAACACAGTAGACAGAACCCACATGACAGGGTAGACTAAACACACATGACACAGTAGACTGAACCCACATAACACACAAGATTGAACCCACTTGACACATTAGACTGAACCCACATGACACAGTAGACTGAACCCACATGACACAGCAGAGTGAACCCAATTGACACATTAGACTGAACCCACATGACACAGTAGACTGAACCCACATGACACAGTAGACTGAACCCACATGACACAGTAGACTGAACCCACATGACAAAGTAGACTGAACCCACATAACACAGTAGACTGAACCCACATGACACAGTAGACTGAACCCACATGACACAGTAGACTGAACCCACATGACAAAGTAGACTGAAACCACATAACACAGTAGACAGAACCCACATGACACAGTAGACTGAACACACATGACACAGTAGACTGAACCCACATAACACACAAGACTGAACCCACATGACACGTTGGACTGAACCAGGGGTCCGGAAAATTTAAAATCCCAATCGGACATTTGCATTTAGGCCACGCCCCCTTCAAATAGCGTATTTTAGTACGACTTTTCACACACATTACAAGTTTACGTATTCATAATATGATGAATTATGAATTGTTTCAATTTAAATTGTTTAATTCACAGGACAATTAATAACAAATAATATCATTTTAGATTTACATGGAAAACATACGTTTGTTTCTGTTATAATAACGATCTGTTAACGTAGTGAACGGTCTAATTAATATTCATGAGTTATATTCATGAGTCTGCTCAAGTGTACGCGTTGTAACATTTGGATCGAGACTATTATCCCATATTTGGTTATCACGTGACCTTACAGGAAAAGTTTTTTTTAAACAAAAGATTTTTTTAAAAACAAGACAGATAATTTAATCACAAATACTAAAATATCGTTGATAGCAATAGTTATTTGAATACTTTTTTCATCTGTACTTAATTATTGACCATAAAAAAATTGGATATCGATCGTCCGAGAAAGCAAAATGGCGGTCAATCAAGATTCAATATACGACTAGCTACTGAAAACAATAAAATCTGCCAATCCTCATTGTATGTCAACCAAGTGAAAGTCGTTAGCCACGACTTACAAAATGATCGTCCAGACTTTGAGGGTTTGGCAGATCCGCTCGACTGATCTGCATCGGTCGACTGGCTGTCGTCACGCTTTCGCTTCTTGTCTGAGGTTACGTATCGTAGCATTGTGAGGAAAATGAGGTACATCGATGATGCAAGGTATTAATGTACAGTTGTAAACACCTTTCACTCAAATTAACAAGATGTTCTCAGTAATTAATCCTCGATTAATCAGTGTCAACTCAGTTTATTGCCTATTACAGTGATTGACCGATTGGACTATCGTGTAGGTACGATGTATTTACAGCAATCAAAACAAACAAAGCTTGTCAGTGTAGTTAATCTTCATTGTGTTGCAACTGCAGACAGAAACTGCTCAGTCCTTACTGTTGATCATGTCCGGTCAAAATTTAAGAATGTCCGGACAATACTTTTTAAAATGTCCGGTAAGCAATATTTTAAAACGGACATTTGAGATTCCCAATCGGACATGTCCGGCGCATATGACGGTTTCCGGACCCCTGGACTGAACCCACATGACACACTAGACTGAACCCACATGACACACTAGACTGAACCCGCATGACAGGGTAGACTCACCCAGGTCCAGGCGCTTGTCTCCAGCCCTGCCTTCAGACAAACCGTCACCACCACATACTGAAACAAACAATCAATCTCAGCAACACAGGCATTTAACTATCACCAGAAGCATGGGATTCATGCTCATGCAGATTGAACCATGCTAAATTGAATCTACAGGTAACATTGAAAACACAGCATGTTTATCTCCATTCTATGAGAAACTATGGTGCTGGTGAAGACATTAACTGAAGCAGCATTGGTGGAGTCCAATGTTTTGAGGCGCTTTACGATCTGAATAAAGGGAACACAAACAACTTTAAGCAAAGCGGCGGTTTATATGCTCACACATACTCATAATTCTTTATGCTCATAATACTTTACTTGTATATATAAGATAGCTATGTGATAAATTGCAAAGAAAAATGAAGAACCAAGTGTGGTTTAATTCATGATAAAACATTGTTCTATCATGACGTCATTTCTGGTGATTCGAACATGCCCTCGCAACTTTAATATTGTAGTTGACCTTTGGTATTTGTAAGCCATAATTGTATATATCATGATTTCTAAATATTATCCTCCGCGGTGATGAGGACATCAAACTAGCTTTTTCAATCAGAGGTGATTATAGTGATTTGAAACCTCTGATTGACCAATCAGAATCAAGAATTTTCCAAATTAATGGTAGAATCACAATTCTTTGAACCGATTTGTTTTATTTAAATAACAATAAATGTCCACTAACATAACCATAAAGATCCTCAAGATCTAGTGCATGATAAAGGACTCATTTAAAGGCTGCCGGAAGTCTGTGCAAGACATGAGATATTGATGGCTACTTACCGTGTACACAAAGTTCCCCATGAAGAGATAGTCGCCAGTTTTACCATCAGAGAACGCAACATCTGTTGAGATACACAATATTCGTACAAGTAACTACTGAAAGAAACATTAAACAAGCAAACCACAATACATCTTATGAATAGTGGGCAGTTTTACATAGACAAACATCATTTCAGTTGGCAGTGGTGATGTACTTTTGTCTGCAGTCCTCCTGAAAGTGTTGTAGGTAATCTCTGCATATAAAAGAATGCCAAGCAGAACAGGTCAAAAAGCTGGAATTGTAAATCATCATGTCTAGTGGTGTTTTATCACAAATTTGAAATTTTCATCGACCAGATTTGTAATTCTCCTTTTTGTTAACCTATGATATATCTTCTGACTGCACCAAAAAAATCGTCTTTTCCCCCCCCCAAAACAGTATCCCCTAGCAGGGGTGTGGGCATTATGTTTGTGTGAGCACACGGAAGTCGGCTCTTACAACAAGTATGGCTAATAGGGTCACTTTTGATCAGTTTACAAACGAAATGTACTCCGTGTACAAAATGATAAAATTATACCCAGATTTTTTATACCCAGACCACATCTCAGAGTACCCGATTTTGGAAATCTCTTGATAGTCTTAATTGTAAATGTATCCATGATAGGTTCACAGCATTATATTGACTAAAATGTCTGTCCGTCCATCAATCCGTCCATCCATCCGATCTTCATGAGTACCTTGCTTCAGCGACAACAACGGCAGCCAGAACAGCAGGATGGAGTGGAAGATGGAGTTGATGATCCAGAACCAGAACACCTGCAACACAACACAACACTCATGGCTCACGATGTGGGCAGCGAACAGCTGTAAGCATCCACGTCACTCCAAACCCCGACACAAACTCACACAACACTCATGGCTCACAATGTGGGCAGCGAACAGTGTCAGCGTCCCCATCTCTCTAAACCCTGACACAAACTCACACAACACTCGTGGCTCACGATGTGGGCAGCGAGCAGTTGTCAGCATCCCCGTCACTCCAAACCCCGACACAAACTCACAAAACACTCATGGCTCACAATGTGGGCAGCGAACAGCTGTCAGCATCCACGTCACTCCAAACACCGACACAAACTCACACAACACTCATGGCTCACAATGTGGGCAGCGAACAGCTGTCAGAATCCACGTCTCTCCAAACCCTGACACAAACTCACACAACACTCATGGCTCACGATGTGGGCAGCGAACAGCTGTCAGAATCCACGTCTCTCCAAACCCTGACACAAACTCACACAACACTCATGGCTCACGATGTGGGCAGTGAACAGCTGTCAGCATCCACGTCTCTCCAAACCCCGACACAAACTCACACAACACTCATGGCTCACGATGTGGGCAGCGAGCAGTGTCAGCATCCCCGTCTCTGCAAACCTTGACACAAACTCACACAACTCTCATGGCTCACAATGTGGGCAGCGAACAGCTGTCAGAATCCACGTCTCTCCAAACCCTGACACAAACTCACACAACACTCATGGCTCACAATGTGGGCAGCGAACAGCTGTCAGAATCCACGTCTCTCCAAACCCTGACACAAACTCACACAACACTCATGGCTCACAATGTGGGCAGCGAACAGCTGTCAGAATCCACGTCTCTCCAAACCCTGACACAAACTCACACAACACTCATGGCTCACGATGTGGGCAGTGAACAGCTGTCAGAATCCACGTCTCTCCAAACCCCGACACAAACTCACACAACACTCATGGCTCACGATGTGGGCAGCGAGCAGTGTCAGCATCCCCGTCTCTGCAAACCTTGACACAAACTCACACAACACTCATGACTCACGATGTGGGCAGCGAACAGTGTCAGCATCCACGTCTCTCTAAACCTCGACACAAACTCACACAACACTCACGGCTCACGATGTGGGCAGCGAACAGTGTCAGCATCCACATCTCTCCAAACCCCGACACAAACTCACTAAAGTCAACAACCTGTCCTTACTTAGCCATGATTACATACTCAGCTTAAAAGGGATGAAAAGGTTGTTTTTGATTGTTGTTTAATGCCACACTTAACAATAATCCAGCTATTTGACATCTGCAAATAATCGAGTCAGGACCAGACAATCCAGTGATTGACATCATGAGCACTGATCTACAGAATTGGGAAATGATGAAGCTAGCCTGACCATCTGATCCAATTATCGCCCCTTATGACAAGCATGGCATGACGAAGATCAATTCTAACCCGGACCTTCACAGGTTTATAATATGACGCACGTAACATATAATTATACCAGTTGACCAAATGACTAACATTGAACATTTTCAAATCAAAGATTAGTCATCAATTACAGACAACATTAATTACAATGAAACAATTTACACTCCAAATCCTGGACTTTATAGAGAATTATAGCGATATTTGTAGCTTGAGGCAAGTAGACTGCAGCCATTCACGGTAGTGCTGATGATTCCAGATCATTTACATCATCTTTAAACATCCAACGAGCAAATGGAGCACAAGTAACCATGGTTTCCTGTTATATATTTTACCTTGACGTTGAAGAACCTTCCATTCTGGGTATCCTTGTATAACGTGGGGTTTTTCATCATGGTTTCTGCAGAGCAGTAGCGATCAAACAAACCCATCGCCAGTGGGGGCGCCGCTGTGAAGATCTGCCAGTGGGGATGCACACATTATTGATACACACAAGAACCTATGTGCAGAGATCGTGGGTAGAGGTAACAGGTCATATACACACTATAATCTACGGAACTGAAGAGACTTGCTTATCACAAATCCATCTTTTAGATATATCTCATTATTGACCTAGAACTAGTGTATGAAATAAAATCCTTTTTTTCAATATTATACTAGTAATACCATTTTCAGAATTAAGTGAAGACTATTCTTGTCTTTATAAGCATTCACAGTTGAGTATAATTATGATAAGGAGTATAAGGGATAACAACTTCTTTATTATACATAAGCAATGTTTCAGTCTACTTCTTGCCAACGTAAGGTGATTGTGGGGCAAGAAGTAGACAGAAACATTGCGTATTTATAATCGATGTCATCCATATCACTCCTTGTGATGACATTATACTTATTAAGCCTATCATGATCTGACTCTTAGAAGATATATAGATTCATAATCCTAAAACATAGCCATGCAGTGTCTATTTCACTTTGATGAACTGTCTATGTCTGAATAATACTTGTAATACATTTCAACATACATCACTTTGACGAACTTCCAATATCTTACATCCATACACTAATACATTTCAGCATATTTCTTCTATCAACATTGGGGGCAATGACTACAAACATCCAAATAACCTCTTTAAACCACAGCACCTGTGTATTAGGAATAACGTATTATTAATAAATATTTTAAATTTTTGTTTACAAATATTTTGCCATCAAATATTTTTTGATTTACCAAATATCCGAAAATCTAAATCTAAATAACATTATAAATAATATCTCACTAACAAAATTTCAAAAAGAAAGAAGTATAAAAAATTTTCACTTGTCAAACCCTTATCCTCTACCGTATATCCCTTCTTAAATCAAAATTCCAGTTATTGACATTTTTTGTTCCAGTTCAAAACGAAACAATTCATATCTCTATAAATCAATTGATTTTAAGTTTTGTAATCCCATTGCGAGGTATGACCTTCCTATAATGTATCATGGAGGTCTTAGATAGATTCATGTGGAATTCAACTGAGGTGCATGAGAGGCTGTATAAGGGGGCGTGTCAGCAGTCCTATGTCTACAGTGATCCGACCATGCAGGGCCCGGTACCTACCACATTGTACAGACCAATACTCCACCGCTCAAACAGAATCTGCCCTGAGAAGCCATTCACTATTTGAAACCAAAACTGTCAAAATAAAAATGACGGTGATGCACAACAACGGACATTAACACAGTATAGTCGACACAAAAAATGATGCACATTGCCTAGGATCACACAGAAACTGTCTACAAATACATTCATGAAATGTACATCACAAAAATTGAAAACAGATATCATGATCAATGTTCTCATGAGGTTTTGTAAATGATGTTTAAAATTACAATTTTTTAATATGAAGAAATTCTTGCAATGATTTCTTAGTGTTTAATTTGTTTTTAAAAATAACAAAAAATGTTCTTTACTAAGCTTAACAGTTTCTTTCTGTCATGAAACAGACATGAAATGAGTTGTTAGGAACGACATGGACTTCTATGTGATCCTGACAGCTATGTGCCTCAGTCAGGGACTGGTGATTTATTACAGGGGTGGTGGGCCGATGAGATTAAGTAAGGGGGTGGGGTGGGGTGGGGGTGTTATGAAAATAAAATGACACAGTATAAGAGGGGGTCGCCAAATTTTATCATCACAACAATATGGGGGGTGGAGGGGGGCATGAAAAAAAAAATACAGTTAAATTTTATTAAATGTTTTTTTTCTAAATATGAACATTATTTAATAGAAACTGGGTCGGTTGGCGCATGAAAAAATGTTACATAAAATTTGGGAGCAAGACCAATCTCATCGGCCCACCCCGCTATAAGTGATGACCAGTCCCAAACCAAGATGTCTGCCTGGGTACTATGTACGCCTATGTACATGCCAACTACATTGAGTACAGTGGGCTGTACACACTGACAGGGGCTACACTGTACACTGTACACTGTACATGCCACTACAACACATGGGCACACAACAACGGAGTGTATGCACAGGGAACAACACCCTTCGCCGGAACTATCAAAATATTTCTCGCGGTACGGAGTTAAAATCTGATTTGTGTATAGATGAATATTTTACAAGGAAACTCCATCTGTAGTGAATATGAACCAGTTGTGATGAGATATAGGCACAATCTCGGTCAGTTGATGTGAGGAGCTTGTTTCCGAAATGGATTTGAGCTGGTAATAAATTTTCAATCTTTAATGAACCCTTTTGCAAGAAACTACTTTCAATTTTAATGGATGTTTAAAATAGAGCAAGATGATGACAGAAACCTCATTATATTAGCATAACAGCCTACTGTTCTAAAGCAGGAAGTATGAGTAATGAATTATTGTATAAATCTTATATCTCTAATCACAGAAGCCGATCCAAGATTTTGAAAAGGTGTGTGCATATAATACCCATGTCACGAAGTGGCTTGGCCAAGTGCACAGTTAATATGTAAGGTGTCTCTGTAAAGGGGGTGCGAAAGTGTGTGTGTGTGTTTGTGCATACCCCTCGCACCCTCCCTCTGGATCCGCCTGTGAATCCTGTACACGACCTAACACATTGAACCATATTACCCGACTGAGCACAGACCCTGGGTGTGAGCCCCGGCAGTAGTTGTCTCCCCCTGGTTGTAGGACATGTACACGAAGGTCCAGTCATGCCACAATACTGACACGGACGGAGTACAATGACGGGCCGGCCGGTAGCCACATACCACATTATATAAACCCAGGGTCCACTTCTCAAACAGAATTTGGCCTGAAAACCCACTAACAATAGCAAACCATAGCTGAAAGAGAAGACGGCAGGGAGAAGCATGACACAGTGTTATAGGAGTCGGACAAGGGCCTGAGTCACAGCAGATGCAGTCTCATTAAGTTTTTATCTTAGTTCTTGCTACTGCTAAACAAAGATCTGAGGACATGCCATTACGGGTCACGTCAGAACGGCACCTTATCAGACCAATCAGAGCGTCTCTTACTAGATCAGAAAAGTGACGGTCGGAATGCGTTTTCCAATCATGCAACCTCGTAAAGGTTAACACGGGGTAATCCACATGACAATTATGGGTTGTCTATCATCGTCTATCTCTAGCTTCAATGGGATATACATTTGAATGGAAGAGGCTTTTCATAACTCATGGGAAGTACAGCCATACAATCTTGGCCATCTATTGGACATTTCAGAATGTTTTGTTAAGTTTTTGAATCAAAAACTTTGTAAATATACTTTTCAAAACAAAGTCTAGAATGAAAATCGACAGATGGAAACTAGTGCTGTGAACTCAAATAACCGCTTTCTGACTTACAAAAGTTGATTTCTTGTTACCCTGGTAGTTATTTCATTAGTCGGTCAATGTTTCTTGAAAAATTGTTCTGACGTGACCTGTAATGGGATGTCCTCATATCTTAGTTTAGTGGTAGCGAGAATCTAAATCAGATTTTAAGGAGAATGTAGCAGATGCTGAGCTCTCTTGTATGATGCCAGACAGAGTGCGTCAGTGAACACTGCCGCCATCAGCAACATTCCAGCTAGGTCACAGCGACCTGTTACAAGTAAACCTGGGCCAGGCAAACCAGTGGTTGACAGCATGAGCATCGATCCAAGTTATCCAGGTACGATGACACACTATCAGCAAAGTCTACATTGTGATCACCTGATTTTCATTTTCATCGCCGATTATGACAAGCGTGTGGTGTTGGGGAACTCTTCTAGCCCCGCGTCCCCACAGGAGACTGCACACAGAAACTATAGCATGATGAGATGAGGACAAGACTAGGATTAGTAATCAGGTTATAGGAAATCTTGCAGCTTTCTGAAAAGAAACCATTATGATCAGAATCACGTATATTTACACTGTACAGACATTGAATGGGATGTTGACAAATCCTCTGATGAGAAATACTTACATTCAGGATATTTTAAGCAAGCAAGTTGCTGATTATGGGAAAATACACAAGTGTCTCTTGCTGTGAAACCTGAACCATTCAGTCAGTGCTGACAATAGAGACACTGAATTATTAGGCTCAGGTGGTTCAAAATAAATGGAAGTGGTTGTTTGTTGTTTCACACTGAACTCAGTGTTCCAGTCATATGGTTGGATATTTGAATATGGACCAGACAATCCAGTTCAGTATTGTGAGCAACAATCCACACGGTTGGGGTACGAGGATACACTGTCAACCCGGTAACTGAACCGGACATACCGGTCCATTAAGTCGCCTCTTACAACTTGCATAGTTTACTTGGGACCTATTCTAACCTGGAAACCCGACAGGGGTAAATGAATGAGGGAGTTGGGATTAATGCTGATTTAACAGTTTTTCAGTTTATCACAGCCCCTCTGTCCCGAAGGCCACATGTGACAATGGTTGCATTCATCTTGGTAAAACCTGTTAGATATGGAGCTGACAGACCTGGGCCCACTTGCACAAAGCGATCTTAGCGCTAAGACTATCGTAAGCCTATGTTAAAGTATGGGAGTTACGATCATCTTAGCGCTAAGATCGCTTTGTGCAAGTGGGCCCAGGAATCATGACAGCATGAAACAATGACCAGCAGATCCTGGTAGCTAAAGGGACATAACTTGGCATCTAGACAACTAGGCCACCTGTGCCCCCTTCAAGGTGAGAAAGGTGGCCGGCCTCCAGCTGGTGTGTTACCTCGATGACGTAGAGACAGATGTTCTTGTAGAAGGAGTAGAGGATGAGTTTACACAGGCGGCTGTAGCTCCACGATCCATGCACCAGCAACAACTTCTGCAGGAACCGGAACTGTAACACACAACAGAGAGAGTGAGTGAGTGAGTGAGTGAGTGAGTGAGTGAGTGAGTGAGTGAGTGGGTGGGTGAGTGGGTGGGTGAGTGGTTGAGTGAGTGGTTGAGTGAGTGGTTGAGTGAGTGAGTGGGTGGGTGAGTGAGTGAGTGAGTGAGTGAGTGAGTGAGTGAGTGGGTGAGTGGGTGGGTGGGTGGGTGGGTGGGTGGGTGGATGGGTTGGTGAGTGAGTGAGTGAGTGAGTGGAATAGTGGGTGAGTGAGTGAGTGGGAGAGGGGGTGAGTGGGGGACTGAGCTAGGGAGGGAGAGTGTTAATGACACCAGCAATATTAGGACAGGAGACACCTAGGAATTGCTATCAAACCCATGTCCTTGATGTGAAAGTAAATATATTTACCACAATCTCATCACAAATAGACCTTTTATTCTGATACGATATCTCTTTGCCTATGGAATGTCAGGTGAACTTTCTAAACATCTAATCAGCTTCTAAATTCTCGGTTCAAGTGAGTGAAGCATGCAAACAAGTATATTTCATTTCTGTATGTTGAAAACGAAGTCAAATGGGCTGTTCCAAATGTAAATTGTTAAGGCAGCGCCATGATATTGCTGCAGATATTTTATACACCCAGTAAAAGATTTGATTTTAATGAGACTGAAAACCCCACTCCTGGAGGCACCATTGAGATACCACATTCAACTAGGTCACATATCCTTACCAACCAATGCCCACAGACTACCATGGCAGCTAGTGAGTGAGTGAGTGAGTTTGGTAATACTCCACTTTGACTACTACATGTATTTCAGTTAACTCCTGGTGTCAGCATGATGGGAGGAAAGCCCAAGTGATGTGGTTCTTGGTAAAGCCCACACGCACGAGCCAGCTCTCATATCTCAAGCTAGACTCCCTGCCAGCCTCACACCAGTGGGACGTACCTGTGCGATGGCGTAGTCTGATGCACAGGCAGCTTGCAGCCCCTCCATCCCACTGATGCCCACCCCAACATGGGCAGCCTGAAACACAGAGACTTGTACTGTAGCTGGTCAGTCTGTAACAGACGTGTCATCTTCTCCACCAGGAACATGGGAATGAACACACATTAGAGATGCAATAAATATAAGGAAGACATCATATTTCAAAATATTCCCCTTTGCGAGTGAGTGAGTTAATATTCAATGTCACATCGGCAGTATTTCAGCAATATCGTGACGAGAAGTTATACATTAATGATACATATATTAAGACTAAAGAAAAACCTGTCAACGATGGATATTACAATAACTAGAATATCACAGATTTGTTTTAAAACTAGTTGACTATGCAGTTGTGAGTGAGTGAGTGAGTATGGTTTTACACCGCTTTTAACAATATTCCAGCAATATCACGGCAGAGAACACAGGAAAATTGGCTTCACAAAATGTACCCATGTGGGGAATCGAACCCAGGTCTTTGACGTGACGAGCCAGCGCTTTGACCACCAGGCTACCCCTAGTCCCCTCAAATGGGCTGAATGTCACCTTCAAGATCATTGCACTTACATAGTGATGTGCATGCACGTTTGTGTATATGTTGCTGTGTGACTGCTTGTACTAGTCCGGGCATATGCTGGTTTTATAGAGCTAGCCCACTGAGATCCCAAACTCTATCCAGAAGACCACAGAGGCAGTCCAAAATACACCTGATACATGACATGTATAAGAATGTATGTAACATTCCAGTGTAAGAATACATAAAGAACAACCAGACCTAGTCATGGCTGTCATCCCCTCAACTGAAGCAATCTCAGCCATGTTAAGGTATGCTTGAAGCATGGAGACAAGTCTGACTTTTGATGGTGTGCCTGCTGGTATATGTTATTACCATTTGTGAGAGTAAAGCTTGAGTGGGTTTTCCTGTTTTACCAAGCATCATATGAACTGAAGCTTAAGTGGGTTTTCCTGTTTTACCAAGCATCATATGAACGGAAGCTTGAGTGGGTTTCCCTGTCTTACCAAGCATCATATGAACGGAAGCTTGAGTGGGTTTCCCTGTCTTACCAAGCATCATATGAACGGAAGCCAAACCTGAATCATGCCGACATCGTTAGCGCCGTCCCCAATGGCGAGGGTGATGGCCTTCTGGGATGACTTCACCAACTCCACCAACTCCGCCTTCTGCAGCGGCGACACCCTGGCAAAGTATACACCATTGTTAAATTGATGCTAATACCCTTGCACAGCATACACCATCGTCACACTACTGCACAATCCACACCCTGCTGACATTGTGGACAACCAATACCCATGCTGGACTTCTCATGACAAGCATGTGTTTGAGTTAAACTAAATATTTATATCACATCGGCAATATATTCAACCATTTTTTGACCAGGATGAAATATAGTAGAGCTATTGGGGAAGTGTTTATTTTTTAGATTATGATTAAATTTTACTCACCGACAACAGATAACAGCTTTGCAAGATTTAGCAATTTCAAGAAAGTCATGCCGACAGTCACAAGTGAGTGCATATTTTAATGTCTGAAACAAAATATTGTTAATAAAGAGAATAACATATTTCACATCTCAACAAGTCATGTACATGATGATAGCATCTTGATCTATCAGTTGTGTGCCAAGCATTAGACAACTAACTGTACAATTGATAATCAATGGAAAATGATGTCAACAGACCAAGTCCGAGCTCATTCCCTTTAAGATTTTTGTCACAGACTCTAGCTGTCCTATAGCACTTTGTACAAGGACTATTCCGGCCACATATCGGTGGGGGGGCCCCATAAACTGACTTCACTCACTGTACATGTGGGGAATTGAACCCTGGTCCTGGACCTTGTCAACACTTTAACCACAAGGCCACCCTACCACCACTTAAGCTTGGTACATCTACACCAGATCTTAATAAATATCAGCAGTTCCTCAACAACATTCTGCCCTAGTCAACCTTACCTGGCCGTCTATAATGAGGGCTACATCATTCTCCTTCCCGAGAGCATCTCCGAAGTCTTGTTTCCTCTTGATGAGGATATCTCTAGTACTCTACAAGAGGCATGAGGTCAGTATTAGTAGTTAATGGCAATGTAACATTCATACCGTAATCGCCATAAGAAGTGCCCTGGGTGCTTAGAATAAAAGCATGTATTAAAACCAAACACAAGTCAAACCTGTGACGGAAGACTTGAAATCAAGATAGCTACTTAGTTCAAATGTTGACCAAACTAAAACTGTTTTGATAATAGTAATGAGTGAGTGAGTGAGTTGGGTTCAACGCCGCTTTTAACAGTATTCCGGTTATATAACGGCGTGTCAGCTTAATGTGGGAGGAAAGCCCGAAGTAATGCAGGTCTCAGATGTTTACCACTTTGGTGAAACCCACGAGCACGGGTATGGTGCTGACAAACCTAGAATTTGATAATAGTAACAAGGCATTATATACACTGCCTTCTACATGGCTTCATGATCTTTCAAACATCCGTGACAAACATGAAAATATGGACCATCACGTAAATGTTTGGGCTTTATAGTGGGTGCATATAAAGATTACTTACAGCTTGGTCTAGAAGTTGGTTAGGGGCGGTTATTGGAGTGGGGCACTTAATATGGAAAATACAGTAAATACTTAGGCAATTTTACATGAGTCAGCAATATTGTTTTAGTTTCAGTGAATATATTGGTGTCAGTATCAGGGTGCACAGGTATACAAGAGCTGCATGGTCTTGTTCACAGCGAGTACAAAACATGCAGCTCATAAAATCCCATACATCTCGCTAGTGACATGTAATGAATTAATATTGTTATGAATAATAATGTTCTGATATGAGAAGCAGGCAACATCACATCAAAATGTCTGTTATGATGTCCAAATAACCAGCCAGCTAATCAGATATCTAGAAGTTTCTAATAGAAATGATAATTGTACTAGATAGCTGAGCTGAATGCAAATTCTCACAACACAAATGACTAAAAAAATAAAATGTTGGTTGACAAAGCTTTTCTTAGATGAGTAAGTTTGGTTATGTCTGTTCATAAAGCCATGTCAGTTTACATGTCATGTCGTAGGAATGCCCAAAGTGATGCTGAAGACAAAGTAGACACAGTTTATGGATGTTTAGCGATGTTTCAGTTTAGATCCTTATACCGTTGTCAGCCTTGCTTGACAACAGTATAAGGATCTATACCCAAATGTCACCTTTACAGTCATTAAAGAAGTCGTTATCCATAAATTGTGTCCACTTTGTAATTCATCAAATGCCTATCAAACAAACTGATGCTTCAGACTTTTATCAACTGTATGATTTTAACAGAGTGAATGTTTAGACAAAGTGAACTACCCAAATCAATACTACTAGGATATTCACAATTTATGTCTCCAGGTAGACTTACATCTAGGCTATGTTCATTGATTATCATCAGCTCCAGGCTCTGCGTCAGCAGCTTACACGAGTACCCTGAAACACCGCCAAACACATGTACCACAAATACATGTATGCAACAAAACAAACACACAAAAAACAAAACAAAGACACAAAAGTAATGTAAAGCCAAAATTAGCTTGCTGAACATTACTACAGGACACTACGTGCATCACTCCCAGAGTCTTCTTAAATGTGACCCTGCTATTTGTTATTTGATCCACATATTTACATGTTACAAATTATTTTCAGTACATTAGTGCATCAAAAACCTCTGACACCCCCCAACTATCATCCCCAACCCCCCCCCGTAATATTTGACACAGTCCATTATGTATGACCTTGTTGAATGTCAATCACGTCACCTTCTATTTCAAAACAATTTTGCCTGCCTTGTATCCCCACTCGAACATAAGCTGATACAAGTTAGTTCTGCTATTCATTCAGGCATTGCTGAGTAGAACTTTACACGGCATGTTTTCAGGACCCTAATATGAATAATCCATTCATGCCTTTGGCAGGTTTGTACATACCAATATTAATGGCGGTCTCTTGCTTGTCTCCTGTCAGAACCCAGATTTTGATGTCCGCCTTACTCAGTGTGTCTATAGTCTCTGGAACACCCTACAAGCAAACAGTCAATGACAACTGTAATACACAGTGTAACCTTAACTACTACTACTACTACTACTACTACTACTACTACAAAGAAGAAGAAGAAGAAGAAGAAGAAGAAGAAGAAGAAGAAGAAAGAGGAGGAGGAGGAGATGGAGAGTGACAATGAGAAGAAGAAAAAGATGGAGGAAGAGAATAAGAATGAGGAGAAAGGAAGGATGATGAGTGGGAAGAGAAGAAGAAAAAGGATCTGAAGATGAGAAGAAAAACATGGATGAGGAGAGAAGGGAAGTGGATGAGATGAGGAGAGAAGGATAGGAGGAAGATAGGATGATGAGAGGAGAATAAGGAGAGAAGGATTGGATGATGAGAGGACAGAATGAGGACAGGAGGAGAAGGATAGGATGATGAGATGAGTAGTAGAACAGGAGGTGAAATGGGGAAGAAAAGGAAGGAGGAGGAGATGATTCACCAGATTCCATTAACAAAGTTAATGCTCACTGAGCTTACCAACAGATATCCTGAGACAAAACGTGGAAAGTAAGGAGCCACTTACATCTTGTAGTTTATCTTCAATAGCTGTTGCACCTAGAAGCTTCAGGTTCTGCAACATCAATGGTGGGACATTAGCCACTGGTCAAACTAATTACGCAATTATCTCCCCTTGGCAATCTTGACAACAAGAAGATACTGACTACAGGACACATTATTTGAACATGCATGACCATAGATTTGAATTGTTTAACAAAAAAGACATCCTCACACAGACGGCAGGAGTGATAGGTTTGATGCAGCTTTGTACAAGTTTCACCATGTCACAGCTTAATGTGGGAGGAAAGACTGAAGTGATGCAGGTCTTAGATGTTTACCACTTTGGTGACAAACCTAGAAACATAACTGAGGCGACCCAGGGGTCACCGACATCATAGGTTCCTGGTATTCTTAAGGGTGCAACTCTGTACCACGAAATACTGAGCCTTAGATGAATTACATTTGAAAGAACCATAATCAGGGTGAATTTGTGATTAAAATCAATGCACACGGGATCCTGGTAGGCCTAAGGGAGGCAACTCAGCTCAGCCTTTTGATAGAAATAGAAAGGTACTGAAGTGCTTTACCCTCTCAATAAGCTCTGCTGCCTCCTCCAGCTTCTTCTCCCGGTTCTGGATGGACGTGCTGGCCTTGTAGAAGGTGTGCTTCCACTCCTCGTAGAAGTCCTCTGAGATGTCCGCCGTCGCTATACACAGCGTCCGCAAACCTGCAACAGGCACAACAGTCACAAGTAAGTTTGGAGAAAATGTCCGCAGACTACCAATAATCACAAACAAAAACTTTAAAATAATGTCATTTTTTTCTTCAAGACATAGTGTTTTTTTCTGGGAATTACTGTATCATGAAGCTTGTGATATGTTTTACCAACAACATCATGATAATAGGATTCAATATTGCATTCATATGGGAATTAAACTTCTACCATGAGTATTGCAAGCAAATGCAATCATGACTGACCTACCCCACTGTCCCAGAATGGAAATAAATGCTGATATATGCCTAACAACTTCTAAATAGAAATACTTGCTAGTATATGTCTAACAACTACAAAACAGGAATACATGCTAGTATATCCCTAACAACTACCAAATACTAATACATGCTAGTATATCCCTAACAACTACCAAATACTAATACATGCTAGTATATCCCTAACAACTACCAAATACTAATACATGCTAGAATATACCTAACAACTACCAAATACTAATACATGCTAGTATATGCCTTACAACTACCAAATACTAATACATGCTAGTATATCCCTAACAACTACCAAATACAAATACATGCTAGTATATCCCTAACAACTATCAAATACTAATACATGCTAGTATATTCCTAACAACTACCAAATACTATTATATGCTAGTATATGCCTAACAACTACCAAATACTAATACATGCTAGTATATTCCTAACAACTACCAAATACTAATACATGCTAGTATATGCCTAACAACTACCAAATACTAATACATGCTAGTATATTCCTAACAACTACCAAGTACTAATACATGCTAGTATATTCCTAACAACTACCAAATAGTAATACATGCTAGTATATGCCTAACAACTACCTATAGTTGCGAACTCCTCCAGATGTTGCAGAGTGATGTCCCTGTACAACTGAGTCTCATCTAGTCGGTCGTAGATCACAGTGTCCTGGAACAGAGGGAGTTAGTGAGTATTGCTTCCATAGTCGGTGTTGCTGCACAGAATCATGACCGGACCACACCGACCAGAGCAACAATCCAGGCAGTCGCTCTATCATGACACTCAATCAGTTCTGGCCCAGTTCCACAAAATGATCTCAGTGCTATGACTATCCAAGGCTATGCTAGAGTAAAGACGTTACGATTGCCTTATAGTGCTAAGATCACTTTGTGGAAAGGGCTCCACAGCTGTCGTACTTGCGGCAACCATTACACATCTTTTCAGTTGAAAATTCTCACATTGGGGGGACTAAAAAATATTTTTTGGCTTGATGAAGAAACAGAAAATGTTGGTGACGAAGTGATGGCTTCTGCTGTCAGAGCTGCAATAGCACCTAGATGGCTAATGTTTGCCTTGCCTGGGACTGAGTTTATGGATCTTCTTGACACTGCACACAAATTTCACTGATAAATAAAGGTTGACATGGGAAGTTACTCTTTGACCGATCATACGGCTAAAAGATCATTACCAACCTTTTAAAAAACCAACCATCCTCAGCGTTAGAAATTGGCACTAGTCTGTAGTCTTTAACAAACTGCCTAATAGTTCAGGGATTAATAGGACTAGTTGAAATTTGTACTTTAATAGGGTTTTGCTATATGTTATCATTATAAGGACAAGTGGACTAAAAATGTTAGTTTCTACCACTGGTTCGGTGTGAAACCAAAGTATCTAAAAAATAGGAAATAAATAAACAATGCTTGACTTGTTTGCTGAAAGGGCTATAATCTATGGGACACGCCCTGCACCTACCGCCCCCTTGCAGTACAGTTGTATGAGTCCGTCAGGACGCTTCACAACCACGGACATCCTCTTCCTCTCACTGAAACACAGAAACATGCAGGTGTTCACACAAGGATTAAACAGGCATCAGCCTCCAGCTTTCATATTGTAGTCAGATACTACCTCATTTCCATGTATATGGTGAGGTGAAGTGAAATGGGATTTAACGTTGCATCCAGATTATTGAGTTTCTTTGTTGTTTAATGCCGCACTCAGCAATATTCAAGCTTTATGATACAGTCAGCAAACAGTCAAGTCTGGACCAGACCATCCAGTGAGTGACATCATTAGCAAAGCAATTGGGAAACAAGGACATGCATCAGCCAAGTCAACCAAGACACAGTATACTGACTCTGAGCTGATAAGTCCTTGCTTTATACCCTTAATGTCGAGTGCCAGGAAGGGTAAAAACAAATACCATCCTTCAATGTGTTTGGGTACAATGCTATTATGCAGTCAGGGGATTGAACCACTGGTCTTGTTTCTCCAGGCAGACACTCTATCCACTACACCATGGAGGCATTTACATGCATGCTTTCACAGAGTGGTCATTTAGGAGATAGACCAAATACATTTTGAAATCTTAGGTTGTCTCACAGTAGATTTGATACCTATTATTTTTTATTTAGAACTGAGTGCTAATTTCATACCTCATTCTAACCAATCAGAATCAAGCATTCTTCAGTGTCATGGTAGAAAAAATGATTCATAGTCTGCGACAGAATCAACTTAATTTACATCTGTTAGGGTTTCATAATACGTGACTTTACAAACGTTACTCACCTTGTAAATTCTAAAACATTGAGTATTTCATAGGTTTCCACTTTACCAAACTGAAACAGAAAGAAAAACAATCCTGAAGATGAGCCATGTCCGACGATTTGATCGATAAGTAAGATCTACATTGTAATAAAACGGGTCTTACTTCTCAAAGTGCATCATATCATGTGAGCACCATGATTAAAAGCATGAAAAGATTTGGAAAATATCTGTTGACGCTAAGTTGACGGTACACATGCTTTGACAAATCCTCCAAGCGACCGAAATCTGCACATCAGTTTACGAACCGGATGTTGTTCCGTTACACAATTTTGATCGAACTATGCATACACTCGTTAGTCCATAATTCCAGCCTAGTTCGGCAAGGCTAGAAACTGGACTTTATAGTCAGTTAACTCCCTTGCCTTGGGAAGATGACCTTAATCCCCAGACCAACCTCTCTGACATAGAGCAGTATTCTGTAAATCATCTGGACTCATATTTCAACTACAAATTCAAGAATCCCAACTTGCTACTGAGAGGATGACTTAAGCGTAAATCCCCTACAGCCAGCTCACATATTAAACAACCATATTCCTATGAGCCTAGCATACATCCCAACACGTCAACAAGGGACCAAATGTTGTCCTACGTCGCCACTACAGAGCCAGAAGACTTACCACCTCTATAGACACGGTTTGGGGCGTCCGGGTCGTGAAGACAAAGCCAAATTTTCGTGCAGCCTTTACCAAAGCAGCTTCATCTGCAAGCATAGCAATTAATGTTGAGTTCCAGCATCTACCTCAAGCACTGTCTTACCAGTCATTATATCCAGATCTCTAAAGTGAAGCCCTATTTTTTCAAAAGCCTCAGGTCAATAACATACACGTAAGCATTCCATCCGAGTTCTGCTCACATTTTAACTGTTCTCTGGCAGGTCTATACCCATGGTCAAAACTTAAGGGGGCAGGTTTTCACATGTAAAATATTAACAGTTTAACCAAAAAATTAGTTTCGGCATTAATAGATCTAACTAGTAAATATGTTCTCCGGTAAAATGTCTGGTAAAACTGGTTCCAGTGGAACAAAATTACTGAGATAAAGTTGTTCAGGAGGTATGAACGCTAACACATGCACCCGCCATTTATTTAAAACAATCTAAGCATTAATAATTGTGAATTTTATAGGTGATCTTTAACCCATTTTGTGAAATTAAACATTACAGTATTACTCAATGTAAATTACCAAATCACCAATTCAATTTCCAAAACAGCTGTATCAGTGCTTGAAATATTCTCTCATTTCTTCACAATCTAAACCCATAATGAAAGGAAGCTTCTGTGTGCCCATGTTCGTCTAAAGGCCCAATCACATGTAGCCCCATGTCGCAGGTCATCGACTGTCACCACCCACCTGGAGAGGAAGCCTGGTAGGAGATCTCATTCAGGTCCAGCATGCGTTCCGGCACCACAGTATGACACACTGCCAGGAGTGTCAGGAAGTCCTGAATTGTTGATGATGTCACCTGCAGGGGAGATAACCCATGCAACTAAGTCAACAGGTTTAGAGTGAGTGAGTGAATATTGTTTTACGCCGCTTTTAGCAATATTTCAATATTTTTGGGAATCGAACCTGGGTCTTCGGCGTCGCGAGCTAAAGCCTTAACCACTAGGCTACCTGACCGCCCCCAACAGTTTTAGAATTTTTTTGTTTTCGAGACTAGTCCAGAGGACTAATGTAAGCCTTACTTCAGTCATCCTGAAGTTTGTAGCTTGTCCGGCTTGAACAAGACAAAAATGTTCACTATGTTTACATAGTCAGTTTGTAGCAGGACTGAAGCACTGATGAGAATGGGTTCAGAGTTATTGCCCTTCAATGATACAAGTGAACTACCATCACTAAAATTGTTTACCTCAGTGCAATTTAGTAGTCTTGTGCTGGTGGACAAGCGTGAATTTAAGAATTTCAAAAGCTGCGACACTGGTTTGCAATGTGAGTCATTACAACACTCTGTCACTGATGACAAATAAAACCTCTATTCATTATCATCTGATGGTCGCCTCATCTTGTGGCATGGTGGCTTGACAGTCCATTTTAAAGTGAGTGAGTGTGTATGGTTTTACGCCGCTTTTAGCAATATTCCAGCAATATCACGGCGGGGGACACCAGGATGGGCTTCACACATTGTACCCATGTCGGGAATCAAACCCGGGTCTTCGGTGTGATGAGCGAACGCTTTAACCACTAGGCTACCCGACCGCCCCCCATTTTAAAGTATTAAATCTGCGATATAGTTGATCACTTTACTGAGCCCCCTAAGCAGTGGTATGATGTGGAAAAAAAACTATCACAACTCCCAAGGAGCCCATAATACATAGGCAAGTATGGATTTTCTGTCCTCCTTTTGATATACTATATATATATACTATATGTATATTAAAAGTCAATTTAACAAAATAAATCTTAAATTTTTTTCATTTCAGAGACTATACAGTGAATCTCTTCTGAGTATCTTCCGAGATTAAATATATCAAGGCGAGTTGATAAAAGGATTTATCATTTAACTTAAGCATTTATCCATGACATAAGCTTATGACATAAAAACATGTATGTCATACCCCAATGACATAAGTATGCAAATTAGATATGCAAATTAGATAACCGGAAGAGCGAGCAGTTTGATTTGAAACTATATATTATAAGTGAAGTTACACCAGAGATATAATCAGATCACACAGAATCGTTGTTGTTACCGTTATTAAAGTTTCAATTATTCTGCAAAAGTCTGTACAAGTATTTTGTTTAAAATAATCCGAGGAACTTTTTTTCTCAGCGAATTGTTTATTTTGGTTTACATGGCTATGGGAAACATGTATCACTACGCACGAAAGGCTCGGCAAATACCGATTAACTAAGACTTGGTTGATATTTCCAATATTAAAAAACACTCGTGATGAATCCTCTATAAATATGCTTGATGACAATATTTGTACTTTTGTCTTTGGTCGTGATATATCTTTGAGCTTGGAACAAGTCATTCTTCCAACCTTTTCAGTTTGTAAACAGCAGTTTCCAGTGTCATGTAGTACAGCCAACCAGCTACAGTCGAGATTAGAGATTGTGATGAAGTAACCATCATGTCACAATGGTCTGCAATGCATTGTGATGCACTTTAATGTTTACGAAATGTCCTGCTGAAGCCAGTTTTGGATGATAAATGTTGGTGATGTACTTACATGGTTGGACTTGAGATTCTCCATGAGAGATTCATCGTCAAACTTGTGGATGCTTTCATCATTATTCCTGCAGGACAAACAGACAGACATTCAAATGCTGAGGCAAGTCAAGGGATACTCAGAGGATGATTTTCATCAGGAAAAATGCATTATTACATTATATCATTGTACAACGACTGTGTTGGTACTAGGCCATCTATATCAGGGCAGTCTGTAAGTAATCAAGTACCAGCGACAATGCTTGCAATGATGCAGTCAGACACATCACACATCGTCCTGCCGACCTTGAAGACACACAGACAGATCACACATTGTGTCCACTCATCGTCATGCCGACCTCGATGACACACAGACACATCACACATTATGTCCACTCATAGCCATGCCGACCTCGATGACACACAGACAGATCATACATTGTGTCAACTCATTGTCATGCCGACCTCGATGACACACAGACACATCACACATTGTGTCCACTCATCGTCATGCCGACCTTGAAGACACACAGACACATCACACATTGTGTCCACTCATCGTCATGCCGACCTCGATGACACACAGACACATCACACATTATGTCCACTCATAGCCATGCCGACCTCGATGACACACAGACACATCATACATTGTGTCCACTCATTGTCATGCCGACCTCGATGACACACTGACACATCACACATTGTGTCCACTCATCGTCATGCCGACCTTGATGACACACAGACAGATAACACATTGTGTCCACTCATCGTCATGCCAACCTTGATGACACACAGACAGATTACACATTGTCTCCACTCATCGTCATGCCGACCTCGATGACAAGCATTGGGTACTGGTGACTATGATGCTTCCCTAATCACAAGCAGCCTGAAGTTCTCCCTCCAAGAGGTATTCCACGTCCTCCCACTGGATCCACTCACCCGTAAGCTATGCCAGCTATGCTACACTTCCGGAATTCCATGACATTCTTAGTGAGTGTGCCGGTCTTGTCTGAGAAGATGTACTTCACCTGCAGCAGAGAAACTTGTATAACACAATGCAGACTCCACAAACATATTCCATACTACTCAACATTTGCTAATGATGAGTATTATATTAAACATATTACGTACTTGTGTTATTCACACCTGTCACCTCAACCAAATTAAATTTGCAGTAAAGGACATTTTTAAGATGTATAGTGAGGAAAAGAAATATTTTGACATCTGTCTTTGACAAGCAACATACCGAAAGTAACCCGAGATATTTTTGCAACGTTGTGTTTGTTGTTAAAACTACACTTTTACAGCTCTATTACACCAGCCGTAAAAAAACAGACAAACCATTGGTTGATATTATGAGCATTTGAGCCATCAGGGCTTATTCTTGCCAAGAACCTTAGGAAGTTTTCTATCAATTGTTTTGAAATTGTCAACGACCACTACTAAAGGCAGGGTCATGCCTTAGTGTATGAATACAGCACTCCACAGACACATATATATTTCCTCACCTGCCCAAGCTCCTCGTTCAGGTTGGAGGTCCGGGCCATGGCGGGGGTGTCCGTCTCAGCGTAGTACATATCCCGGTCCTGGAATACATCCAGAACAACATAGTACATCACGGAGAAATTGTAGTCTGAAACATGCCTCCCTGTAACAACATGAACCTACCCAGTGAAAGAAGATGACCTACCCCACCTCCCTGTACTGGTTTGGACCTACCCAGTGGATGAAGATGACCTGCCCCCACCTCCCTGTAATGGTGTGGACCTACCCAGTTGATGAATATGGCCTACCCCACCTCCCTGTAATGATGTGGACCTACCCAGTTGATGAAGAGCACCTACCCCACCTCCCTGTACTGGTGTGGACCTACCCAGTTGATGAAGAGCACCTACCCCACCTCCCTGTAATGATGTGGACCTACCCAGTTGATGAAGATGGCCTACCTCACCTCCCTGTAATGATGTGGACCTACCCAGTTGATGAAGATGACCTACCCCACCTCCCTGTAATGATGTGGACCTACCCAGTTGATGAAGATGGCCTGGATGAACTTGACGACCTCCAGGGTGACCTGCAGACTGATGGGGATCAAGTTGTTGTACAGGATGATAAATGTCAGCAGGTTGTAGCCGAAGTTGGTGGGCGGCATTTCTGGAATAGAACAGTGTCAGAGAGGTGTGAGTTCAGAGGAGTGCTGGATTATAGACAAGATTCTCATCATTCAAAGCTAAATGCACAAACTCCACTTTAGGCGAGGAGCATGCGGAAACCTTGTCTAGGTGATAAGGGTGGTGCATTCTTAAACTTAACTTTCATCAAATTAAATCAATGTTAGAAAATAACCTAGTACTCATTATCATGATGCATATAAGACTTCTAACCATGGTAGGCCAGGTACCAGTCTCAGTACTAACTCACCACGGTAGACCGGGTACCAGTCTCTGTACTAACTCACCATGGTAGGCCAGGTACCTGTCTTGGTACTAACTCACCATGGTAGGCCAGGTGCCAGTTTCTGTACTAACTCACCATGGTAAGCCAGGTACCAGTCTCTGTACTAACTCACCATGGTAGGCCAGGTACCAGTGTGTACTAACTCACCATGGTAGGCCAGGTACCAGTCTCTGTACTAACTCACCATGGTAGGCCAGGTACCAGTCTCTGTACTAACTCACCATGGTAGGCCAGGTACCTGTCCCTGTACTAACTCACCATGGTAGGCCAGGTACCAGTCTCAGTACTAACTCACCATAGTAGGCCAGGTACCTGTCTCTGTACTAACTCACCATGGTAGGCCAGGTACCTGTCTCTGTACTAACTCACCATGGTAGGCCAGGTACCAGTCTTGGTACTAACTCACCATGGTAGGCCAGGTACCAGTTTCTGTACTAACTCACCATGGTAAGCCAGGTACCAGTCTCTGTACTAACTCACCATGGTAGGCCAGGTACCAGTCTCAGTACTAACTCACCATGGTAGGCCAGGTGCCAGTCTCTACTAACTCACCATGGTAGGCCAGGTACCAGTCTTGGTACTAACTCACCATGGTAGGCCAGGTACCAGTCTTGGTACTAACTCACCATGGTAGGCCAGGTACCAGTCTCTGTACTAACTCACCATGGTAGGACAGGTACCAGTCTCTACTAACTCACCATGGTAGGCCAGGTACCAGTCTTGGTACTAACTCACCATGGAAGGACAGGTACCAGTCTTGGTACTAACTCACCATGGTAGGACAGGTACCAGTCTCTACTAACTCACCATGGTAGGCCAGGTACCAGTCTGTGTCTCGATGTTTGTTGGACCACACTGTGTTGGCAACTGTGCTGATCAGGGATAACACCACCAGAATCACAAACAGCAACAAGATCTGAAACAAGAAACATTTGGATGCTTGGTCTGTGATTATTTCATCACCATCTGAAACAAGAAACATCTTGATCCACATTGGTGCAATATAAAAATTAGATTTTAATAAACAAAACCTGCTAGTTAAAAATTTATGAAACAATGTCCTATAGACAAGGCTGGGATGGACTCTAGTAGGGCTGGGATGGGTAACTAGGGTAGGGTACTAAGTAGGACCCTGGTACCCATTAGACTACATGGTTAGTCACGTGATCTATTGTTTCATGACCAAAATTCACTATAACTACATGGACACACAATGGTTCGCATTTCTTTTTGACTATGCACATATTCCTTCTGACTTACATGTGTTTGAAAAAAGATAAAACTTCAGTCAACTTCATTGTATGCATGACCAGATCGTTTTACATGTGTATCTAAATACATTTTGCTCAAGCTACTGTCAAACTATTCCCAATCGGACATTTTGTACCTATCTTTTGAAACCATCAGCGGGTACCCAGGTAGGGTCGGGAAATAGGGGTGTGGGTAGCAGGGTAGTAAGTCTGGACTTGTCCCAGCCCTAGTCTCTAGATCAGGGAACACAGACCCCTATCAGATAAATCTAAGCAGGAAGTGATCCTCCTGGAGCTCCCGTGTCCTGACAATCCTCCAACTTACCTGTGTGTTAGTGAGTTTCTCCACATTGGACCTCTTGAGTGGTGCTGATGTTGAGTTGAGCATCAGTTTAGTCTGGGGACCTGTGTATACCACTACACCTGAAACCAGGAACAGGGGGGTGGTTACCGTGACAGTCTTCCATAGCAGAACACATGGACCAACGGGAAGAACAGGCTATATGCACTAGCCTGTACACGGCTCTTTTCAGTAGATATTAGTGTTATTATATGAACTATTATTTGCTGAGTTTACTTGACTGGAGAGAATCTTACAAGACTCAGGCTCTTTTTAATATTTTTTTTTATTTCTTTGTTTGCACGCAGCAATATTCAAGCTATAAATATGACGGTGGTCTGTAAATAATCGAGTCTGGACCAGACAATCCAGTGATTGACATCATAAGCATAAATCCACATAGTTGGGATAGGACGACATGCATCAACCAAGTCAGCGAGTCTGACCACCCGATCCCGTTTGTCGCCTCTTATGACAAGCATAGTAGCTTTTTACGGCAAGCATGGGTTGCTGAAGACCTATTCTACCCCGGATCTTCACGGGTACATCTCGCTAGTGACATGGAATGAATTAATATTGTTATGAATAATAATGTTCTGATATGAGAAGCAGGCGACAACACATCAAAATGTCAGACAGGTCAGACTTGGCTAAAGTCACAGGCAGTTGTGAGTGTGTTAGACCACCCATTCCCTCTATGGTAATTCCGACCCAGGAGTTGAGTGTGAGGCACTGATCTACCCATCCATCACTTACCAAAGATCCAGTTTGTGTTTTTGAGTATTGCTCCTCTCAGCAGCAGCTGGTCCGGCCCCACAGGGATGGCCCTGCAGAGAGAAACAGGAACATGCAGTCTGTACCATATGTCCTTGAGTATAGTGCACACTTGTACACACAAGTTACACACAAAATACTGAATCCCCTAGAGGGGGGTGCGCACTTAACTGAAACAAATAAGACATGCCACTACATCGTCATTGATCATGTCGGACATGCTGGTCTAATGCACAATAGGTCCATTTTTTTAAGAACTTTCTCCTTTGAGAAATATCTTAACTTTTTTTCAGAACAAACAATGGGTGTATTTCCATGACATGTATGATAGGTACGGTGACCTTTCATGATAAAAGGATCCATTTTTCTGATTTTCTATATGAAACCAGATATCACACATCATGTTTGATAATCCCAGTTAATGCCTGCCATTGTTCATGGGATTATCAAGAAGGGGTATAGGCTGTGAATCTTACATAGAATTTCGTGGTCTGATGTTCCCGACGAAGTCATACAGGTGTCGGTTGGGAGGCTCACACTCCACGTTTCCCTGGAAGTCCTGAAGATCCTCCCCAGTCAGCAACTTGGCTGTTTTCGGTACACCCTGGAATACACATACATCAGGCACTGATCAACTGCATCCGTTTCACAGACTGAGATAGAGGGAGGGAGGGAAGTGAGAGAGAGTGGGAGATGAGAGAGGGAGGGAGAGAGGGAGGGAGAGAGGGAGAGAGAGGGAGAGAGGGAGGGAGGGAGATGAGAGAGGGAGGGAAGTGAGAGAGTGGGAGATGAGAGGGAGGGAAGGAAGAAGGGAGGGAGGGAGGGAGGGAAGTGAGAGAGAGGGAGGGAGGGAAGGAGAGGGAGAGGGAGGGAGGGAGGGAGAGGGAGGGCGGGAGAGGGAAGGAGGGAGGGAAGGAAAGAGGGAAGGAGGGAGGGTGAGAGAGAGGGAGGGAGGGTGGGTGAGAGAGAGTGGGAGATGAGAGGGAGGGAGAGAGGGAGGGAGAGAGGGAGGGAGGGTGAGAGAGAGGGAGATGAGAGGGGGAGGGAAGGAAGAAGGGAGGGAGGGAGGGAAGTGAGAGAGGGAGTGAGGGAGGGAGGGGAGAGAGGGAGAGGGAAGGAGGGAGGGAAGGAGAGAGGGAAGGAGGGAGGGTGAGAGAGGGAGGGAGGGTGGGAGAGAGGGAGAGGGAGGGAGAGGGAAGGAGAGAGGGACAGGGAGGGAGAGGGAGGGTGGGAGAGGGAAGGAGGGAGGGAAGTGAGAGAGTGGGAGGGAAGGAGGGAGGGAAGGAGAGAGGGAAGGAGGGCGAGTGAGCGAGAGAGAGGGATAGGGAAGGAGAGAGAGAGGGAGGGAAGGAGGGAGAGGGAGGGAAGGAGAGAGGGAGAGAGAGGGAGGGAAGTGAGAGAGGGAGGAAAGGAGGGAGAGAGAGGGAGGGAAGGAGGGAGAGAAAGGGAGGGAAGGAGGGAGGGACAGAGGGATGGCGGGAAGGAGAGGGGGGAGGGAAAGGGAGTAAGGGAGGGAGAGGGAGTTAGGGAGGGAGGGAGGTCTTGGAGTTTTTATAGAGACACTGTTTCAAGAATGCTTCTTCTTTCAGAAAAGAGGAGCTGACCTAGTGACTGGACACACATTGCACACTTCCAATGTTGTCCTACGCACCTGTCTCAGCTTCAAGTTGGTCTCTCCATCAAGGTTGGAGGTCTCGATGTAACACATGGCTTGTGGCTCACTGAAAAACAAACATTAAGTCAGTAAAGATATGTCACTTGGCAGTTCACAGTAAATCAAGGGGCGGTGAGGTAGCCAAGAAGTTAAAGCGTTTGACACGGGTTTGATTCCCCACAAGGGTACAATGTGTGAAGCCTATTTCTGGTGTCCCCCGCCGTGATATTGCAGGAGTATTGCTACAAGCGGTATAGAACAATAGTCACTCACAATAAATCACAGATTTCCTGACCTATTAAATGATCACTGACATAACTCTCAACTGAAACTGAAAAATGTAGTTTGAGATACATCGAAGTGAGACATGCCCTGGCCTGACTACATTCCTTCTCAGATTCAAGGAATTAGTTGTCTTGTTTATATATTGAAACAAAAAACAATTTTTATTATTTTATCAGTCAAGTAGGATTCAGAAAAGGGATAACATAATGATCAAGAGAAATAGTGTCTTTTACTCCTTATGTTCCACCAGACTTTCCATGTTGAGCTGGCATTGTTATGCACAGTTATCTCCCTTGGCTTGAACTGGATTCCAAAGGATTTTTTTCAGGAATTTCATGGGAATATTTCTAAAAAATTCTGCAAATTTGCATGGTAATGGCATGAAAATAAATATTATTACAAACCGGACTATCCTTGAAATAACAAAAGAATTTACATCATATATTTTTTAATGAATGCTGTTGAAAAGATATCTTTAAAAAAATGAAAAAATAAATAAATACAAAATAATCATCATCATCATCATCATCATCATCATCACATACTGAATGTCAACATTTTAATAAGAATATTACATTTGTGAACAAGCCCATTTTCATTGACAAATAACCCTTTCCCAGTCGAACAGAATCCGAATTATTTGTTAAACTTAATTAAACACAGTGAGAAATGTTCCCATGGCTATCTGCTGACAAAACACTATGCTGAGATCAATATTCTTACACTTCTGTCTATCAGCAATCTCCCAACATCAAAAAGCCTCTTCATGAATGTTTAAAGCTTTGTCATTAAGTGATGACTTAGCTGCGTGAGCTTATTGATCAGAAGGCTTACAAGCTGATACAAGTATAATGAAATTAACATAAACATTTTGCATGTTTTTGTGTCAAAGAATCATTTGTGATCAAAACATAACTTTTGGTAAGACACACGTGAGCATCGAACCTCAGGCCTTTGGCGCTCCGTATCCACTACGCTACGGAGGTGGTCCGATGGTAAATCAAGAAAGCCCCTGTTAGAATGTCATTATCAAAGCAAGTGTAATCTTGTCACACTATCACAAGGGTTTGTTGCTCATCGAGAGCATTCTAAATAATACATCCATATTGACATGCTTGGAGCTGATAGTGGAGTCTACGTAAGAATTGACTTTCATTTTGTGTCAGTTCACTGATGACACGGAGACAACTGACCTTGATGACAGAAGAATAAGGTCGGCAGGAAAGAAGCCTCCATTGATGACCTTGATTATATCTCCTACCACCACCTCTGTCCATTTTACTGTCATCCAGGAAGTGTTGCGGAAAACTGAAACATACAAATTTATATATCAGCATAATATCAATGTACGATGTGGAAACAGATTAAACATCAATGACCGAGTGAGTGAGTGAGTGAGTGAGTGAGTGAGTGAGTGAGTGAGCAAGCGAGTAATTGAACCCAGGTCGTGAGTGTGATGAGCGAACACTTTAGCCACTAGGCTACCCCGCCGTCCCAATGAACAAACGAACGGGGAAACATACACATTAGTATGTTCTCATAACATTTATGTACAATTCAGAAACAGATTTAGACAATCGTGATGCATCGATAGTTTCACCAGTCATTACACATCTATTCAAAACACACAATGCTACAATATACAGGGGAATCTGTCTAAACAGAGGACTCACACAGCAATATACCCCCAGGAGAATCTGTCTAAACAGAGGACACACGCAGCAGTATACAGGGGAATCTGTCTAAACAGAGGACTCACACAGCAATATACACCCAGGGGAATCTGTCTAAACAGAGGACTCACACAGCAATATACACCCAGGGGAATCTGTTTAAACAGAGGACACACGCAGCAGTATACAGGGGAATCTGTCTAAACAGAGGACTCACACAGCAATATACACCCAGGGGAATCTGTCTAAGCAGAGGACACACGCAGCAGTATACAGGGGAATCTGTCTAAACAGAGGACTCACACAGCAATATACAGGGGAATCTGTCTAAACAGAGGACTCACACAGCAATATACAGGGGAATCTGTCTAAACAGAAGACTCACACAGCAATATACAGGGGAATCTGTCTAAACAGAGGACTCACACAGCAATATACAGGGGAATCTGTCTAAACAGAGGACACACGCAGCAATATACACCCAGGGGAATCTGTTTAAACAGAGGACACACGCAGCAGTATACAGGGGAATCTGTCTAAACAGAGGACACACGCAGCAATATACACCCAGGGAAATCTGTCTAAACAGAGGACACACACAGCAATATACAGGGGAATCTGTCTAAACAGAGGAATCACGCAGCAATATACAGGGGAATTTGTCTAAACAGAGGACACACACAGCAATATACAGGGGAATCTGTCTAAACAGAGGACACACGCAGCAGTATACAGGGGAATCTGTCTAAACAGAGGACTCACACAGCAATATACACCCAGGGGAATCTGTCTAAGCAGAGGACACACACAGCAGTATACAGGGGAATCTGTCTAAACAGAGGACTCACACAGCAATATACAGGGGAATCTGTCTAAACAGAGGACTCACACAGCAATATACAGGGGAATCTGTCTAAACAGAAGACTCACACAGCAATATACAGGGGAATCTGTCTAAACAGAGGACTCACACAGCAATATACAGGGGAATCTGTCTAAACAGAGGACACACGCAGCAATATACACCCAGGGGAATCTGTTTAAACAGAGGACACACGCAGCAGTATACAGGGGAATCTGTCTAAACAGAGGACACACGCAGCAATATACACCCAGGGGAATCTGTCTAAACAGAGGACACACACAGCAATATACAGGGGAATCTGTCTAAACAGAGGAATCACGCAGCAATATACAGGGGAATTTGTCTAAACAGAGGACACACACAGCAATATACAGGGGAATCTGTCTAAACAGAGGACACACACAGCAATATACAGGGGAATCTGTCTAAACAGAGGGCACACGCAGCAGTATACAGGGGAATCTGTCTAAACAGAGGACACACGCAGCAATATACACCCAGGGGAATCTGTCTAAACAGAGGACACACGCAGCAATATACAGGGGAATCTGTCTAAACAGAGGACTCACACAGCAATATACAGGGGAATCTGTCTAAACAGAGGACTCATGCAGCAGTATACAGGGGAATCTGTCTAAACAGAGGACACATGCAGCAATATACACCCAGGGGAATCTGTCTAAACAGAGGACTCACGCAGCAGTATACAGGGGAATCTGTCTAAACAGAGGACTCACACAGCAATATACAGGGGAATCTGTCTAAACAGAGGACTCACACAGCAATATACAGGGGAATCTGTCTAAACAGAAGACTCACACAGCAATATACAGGGGAATCTGTCTAAACAGAGGACTCACACAGCAATATACACGCAGGGGAATCTGTCTAAACAGAGGACTCACACAGCAATATACAGGGGAATCTGTCTAAACAGAGGACTCACACAGCAATATACAGGGGAATCTGTCTAAACAGAGGACTCACGCAGCAATATACAGGGGAATCTGTCTAAACAAAAGACTCACACAGCAATATACAGGGGAATCTGTCTAAACAGAGGACTCACACAGCAATATACACCCAGGGGAATCTGTCTAAACAGAGGACTCACACAGCAATATACAGGGGAATCTGTCTAACAACAGAAACTGGGACAGAAACTCTAACCATTTAGACAGTGGTCCACATACGTACACTTAATTAATGATAAAGTAATAAATTAAGTCTGGTATTGACAGAGATCCGTATTAGTCACAGTTTTGACTGATCCACTCCACTGTCACACACGGCCTCAGGTTACTGATGACAACCTTGAATCAGCAGTATAGTATGTTAGTGGCTGGAATGTTTTCCCCCAATATTAAAGACTATAAATTGTGCTACGTCAACAGTTCTGTAACATCAAACCTGACGGATTTGAACAAATGAGCATACCGTATTCGACGTAATAAGCGCCCAGGGCACTCTCAAAATTAGAAATAGGGGGCTCTTATTAGAATATTATTTTGGTGAAAAAAAACAGAGTTGAAAGATAAATTCCGTAGTTTATGCTGACAGCCTGAAATTTTTATATACGACAGACATATTTTTCCAGAATTTATTTGCCCATAATTGAGGGTGCATATTACACATGAGTGCGTATTATTCGCGAATAAATAAGTCTTGTGTACATTGATCAATCGGAAGGGGTGCTAATTGGGATTGTTCACTAGCCAATGTATTAGCAAATATCGCCGTGGGCGCTTATTACGTCGAATACGGTAGTTCCAAAAACCGATCCTAGCATTATTGCAACTGTATGTTTATGTCACAGGGGGACTGTCTCTGTGGCCTTGTGGGTAGAGTGTCTGTCTGGAAAGGAAGGATGGTGCTTCGATCCCTGGGTGTGTTATACAAAAAGATTTTAAAAGATGGTACTTGCTTTTACCCTGTCTGGCTCGGAGTCAGTATACTGTGTCTGAGTGGGGTATTCATGTTAAATTGCAGCATGGTGTCTCAGTAGGCTAGCACTAAATAGTGGCATTAGTCAGGACTAGTACAAGTAGCCAAAGACATTTCAGGCACATCGCTATATATGTCGATAATTTTGAACACAACGTTAAACACCATCTTACCTCACCTCACCTATTATATCATAGGGAGAATGTGCTCCAAGGTGTGCTATTAGCAATTAGTGCCAGAAATTGCGTTATTGTCTCTGTGTAATTAGTGCAATGGTTAGATAAATACACATCATGGTTATTTCAATTAGCACAATGACTCCATTCAAACTTGATACAACTGCCAATTTATCTTGTCTCTAGTCCTCCCTTGTTTGTTTGTTTGATTGTTATAAAACCCCACTCAGCAACACTCCAGCTTAATGACAGAGGCCAGACAAGAGTGATCAATAGTGGGAGCAACGATCCACGCCATCGGGCAATGAGGACACGCAATCAACCAACCCAACGAGCCTGACCACCCGATCCATTTGGTCACCTCTGACGACCAGCATAGATTGCTGGGAATCAATTCTAACCCGGATCCCCACAGGGGTTGGACAGAGGGAGGACTATGATTGCTTTGAAGATCACAGCCCTGAACTATTGTGAAGCTGACCATACGCCATCTCCTGGACGAAGTCAACAACACGCCTTGATGTATCCTGACAAGACACCCACATCCTAGAACGGCAAAGGATGCATCAGGAAAGACCAATCAATTTCAACAGAATGAGAAGTGTCAATCAGCCAAATGTTTGGATTAGTAAAGAGTTTGTCAGCTTGTGGGGGCTGATAATTGACTCTCAGTCTTCCTCACGCAGAGGAGTTCTCGGCAAATCAACCCCATTTTGCTCAAGGGTACTCCAATCAAAGGCCACTTTCTCTGTCGAAAATGTTTGTAACTACACTGCATATTCAAACACATGATTTGTAATCGAAAAGTGTTTGGGCAGTTTGCGACAGTAATGAAAGTAAATGTCCAGCTGCTTGTGAAGACGAAATTAGGAGCCTGAAGGTTGAACACATTGATTGATTGTGATGGACAGTTCCATGCCTAAATCACATCCTAGTCGTACGCCAACCTCACCAAGCATCCACAAAGATTTATCCCCCATCTGGACACAAAGAATATCCCTATCAAATGTTGTGTAGTGTAAATGCTTACATGTATTTCCGAATGACCTTTGACCAGTCTTTATTCAAAGCAAAGGCAATATTTTGCATCAATACTTTGCCATATTTGTTTTAAAGGCCTCTCCTCAATGCTTCTTGGTAAAGTTGGTTAAACCAGCGTTTATTCTAAGATTTACGATAGTTCAAAGTAAGGCAGTGTTCTCTTCCTGAACATGAAGCTCTGAAGACACATAGCCATGAAATTGCCTTTTGCAATTCTGGATTTTTTTAAGTCTTAATTTCTTTACGGTTACAAGGCAGCAAGCCAGACTCATGTGGAAACGAAGGTTGGGAGCATTTCAGGAGCATAAGTTTGTTTTGTTTGTTTGTTTGTTGTTTAACGCCGCACGCAGCAATATTCCAGCTGTCTGACGGTGGTCTGTAAATAATCGAGTCTGGACCAGACAATCCAGTGATTGACACCATGAGCATTGATCCACCCGATCGGGATACAATGAAACGCATCAACCAAGTCAGCGAGCCTGACCACCCGATCCCGTAAGTTGCCTCTTACAACAAGCACAGTCGCCTTTTACGGCAACCATGGGTTGCTGAAGACCTATTCTGACCCAGATCTTCACGGGACCGGGTGCATAAGCACCCAACTGTTTAATATTCATTGTGAAACTTTGCATACACATCACACAAGATGCGACAGGTGTGCTTTGCATCAGAGGACTTTAACACTGAGACATTTGTTCAAATGAGTAGCGTTCATTAACACTGATGCACACATTCATATGAAAGTAGTGTTCATTTCTGGAGCTATCCTCATAGGCTGGTGTCTTTTGCTTTTCAGATTATTAATTTTTTATGTTTAATCCATGGCAAAAACGTGTACTTCTAAGAACTGACTTCAATTCTTTTGTATTTATGGGGGTATAAATGTTTGAACTAGTGTGCATACTGTGTGAAAACTTAAATTTTGAATAAATGTCAGAAAGTGCTGAAAAGGTTCCTTATGCAATTCATGAGATTTTGTGTTTAAAGAAAAACATTCAACTTTGTTCCATTGTAGGTAAGGCACTGCTGAACTGGTGCCTTTTGCAAGTCTGGAATCTAAACTTTAAGTTCTTGCGTTGCCCTGGGAGAAGCTTATATTGAGGGTAGCATTGTTTCCAATGTCAAACTTATAAACCTTTTAATATATCTCTAAGAAATGTAAGATCAATTAGCTTAAACCATGACATTTTGAGAACTGGAACACATATAAACATGAGTTTTGTTTCAAGAGTATAGCTCTCAAAAACATTCTGAACTGCTCGAAGAGGATTTGCACATATATCTATCATTGTTCCTTTTGATTACACACAACTGGTAAGGTGGCTATTACTGTGTGGGCAATTTATCTAATACATTCCATCTTCATTTTCTATTGATTTAGATAGTTTCTTACATGAAGGTCGAGTATTAAGTCCTTTTACATTTTTTTAGTCATTTTACAAAAAGTATATGGCCCAGAATTCAAGGTAGGTCGTTGGGGGATAAATTAATAATAATTTTCCACTTCCAGATTAGTACTGCAAGAAATGAAGGAAAAACAAGTATTTGTCACAGAGTGACGAAATATCCCCCGCCTGTACACCATAGTACCAAATATGAAGACAATCCAGCGATTAGTTCTTGAGATATTGTGGCAACACCGTTTTCCAACTCCAAAAACAGATTTGCCTGCTGTGACCTTGAAAATGGGGTCAAGGTCACCAAATCTGACAGGTGTATGCGGTGTCTGTATATACACTATAGTTCCAAATATGAAGACAATCCAGCGATTAGTTCTTGAGATATCGCGGCAACACCGTTTTCTAACTCCAAAAGCAGATTTGCCTGCTGTGACCTTGACAAGGGGTCAAGGTCACCAAAACCGACTGGTGTCTGCGGTGTCTGTATATACACCATAGTTCCAAATATGAAGACAATCCAGTGTTTAGTTCTTGAGATATCGCGGCAACACCGTTTTCCAACTCTAAAAGCAGATTTGCCTGCTGTGACCTTTAAAATGGGATCAAGGTCACCAAAACCGACTGGTGTCTGCGGAGTCTGTATATACACCATAGTTCCAAATATGAAGACAATCCAGTGTTTAGTTCTTGAGATATCGCGGCAACACCGTTTTCCAACTCTAAAAGCAGATTTGTCTGCTGTGACCTTGAAAATGGGATCAAGGTCACCAAAACCGACTGGTGTCTGCGGAGTCTGTATATACACCATAGTTCCAAATATGAAGACAATCCAGTGTTTAGTTCTTGAGATATCGCGGCAACACCGTTTTCCAACTCTAAAAGCAGATTTGTCTGCTGTGACCTTGAAAATGGGATCAAGGTCACCAAAACCGACTGGTGTCTGCGGAGTCTGTATATACACCATAGTTCCAAATATGAAGACAATCCAGTGTTTAGTTCTTGAGATATCGCGGCAACAAACAGGTGGGACGTACGGACGGACGTACGGACGTACGGACGTACGTACGGACGGTCGTGAATACTATATCCCCCGCTTCGCGCTTTCGCGCGGCGGGGGATAATAAACAAGTTTTAACATGGTAAGATACAAAAAGATAGTTGATCATGTTGATTAATTTTTTTAATTAGCATAAACATTATTATACACATTATCAGTGAATAATATTTCCCCAAATTTCATTCAGACAACCAGACTGGCAACATTGCATAGTTAATAGACAAGTAGACAAGTCATCTTAAAGCTCGCCACGAAGAGTTGCAAGGCTGCTGATGCAGTGTTAAGCAATAATCACTCACTCACTCACTCAAAGCAAACACTAACAGAAGTCATCTTAAACCTTGCCACGAAGAGTTGCAAGACTGCTGATGCAGTGTTAAGCAATAATCACTCACTCACTCACTCAAAGCAAACACTAACAGAAGTCATCTTAAACCTTGCCACGAATAGTTGCAAGACTGCTGATGCAGTGTTAAGCATTAATCACTCACTCACTCACTCACTCATTCAAATCAAACACTGACAGATGTCATCTTAAAGCTCGCCACGAATAGTTGCAAGGCTGCTGATGTAGTGTTAAGCAATAATCACTCACTCACTCACCCACTCAAATCAAACACTAACAGAAGTGATCTCAGGGCAAGGACAATCAATACAGGAGGCAGCACGCTCACATCACCCTGTCACAGGTGATGCAGGTGTAGCTGTAACAGCAGAGGCTCAGCAGATGGTGCTCCAATCAATGGGGAGGTGGAAAGGCAATTAGTGAGGTCTTCCGTCACCAAAATGACAGTTGCAGTGCCAACAACATGGAATCAATGGGACAGAATTGTGTGTGCTGTGAGTGTGGCCTATGAACAGCTCTATGTTTGTTTGTTTGTTTATTGTTTAATGCCGCACTCAGCAAAATTTCAGCTATGACGGTGGTCTGTAAATAATCGAGTCTGGACCAGACAATCCAGTGATTAACATCATGGGCATCGATCTACCCAATTGGGATATGAAGATGTGCATCAACAAAGTCAGCAAGCCTGACCACCTAATATCTTACAACAAGCATTGGTTGTTTAAATCAATTCTAACCAGGATCTTCACAGGATTTATCAACCAGAAGAAACAGCAGTTCAGCAAACTAGATTTCTAATTACAAGAAGACATTGCCTCAAACATGCATTATCTTAAATATAATTCAGTGCCAGTTCATGTTGTCTGACAATTCTAAGATCAAAGAATCAATTAGTGCCACAAGAGATTTGGGTAGAAAAACTTGTCTCTCTATGTCGATGTTAAGGTTGTCCAAAGGTAGTTTTATGCAACTGGCGAATATTTTTGTTAAGGTAACCTTAACGTTAACTTTAGTCACTAAGTTCAACCTTAGTAAAGGTTGTTTTGTACAATGGTACCCTGGACCCAACCGCCACCATAGCTTCTTTTCAGAAGTGATGTCACCATCTCGATCAATTTTATCTCTTAAAATAGAAATCTTAGCACAGAATTTCTCGTGCTTATGAGAATAATGTGATTCAACGGCTTCTTTTGCATTTTGCCACTCAAATCAGGCTCTTAACCAAACTTTGGTGGCGAATGGGTCCAGGGTATTCATCAAAATATAATAAAGATGAAACACTCTGAATAATTGAGGACACACAGGAAGAAGTGGGGTTTTCCCACCTTGCGCATTGGTATGAAGTGTGGGTAGCAAGATACTATTATTTGCACAACTGATTATGGATAGTTGACAGTGAAGAGAACCTCTGTTGACAATCTGAAGATATCAGCCAAACTACAGGATTTTATGGCTATGATGTAATAGAGGTAGGGTATTCACAAGAATTATGATTCACTGAATAATTGAGGATGCAGGTATGTGAGAACCATGCATTTCTTGGAATAAAATAAAATACCCCCAAATACTTACCATTAACTTTCCTATTATTTACTGCATCATCTGCTCTGTGTCGTTTCTGCAATTAAACAAAAAATATTGTCTTAACTGTTGAATGTATTTGAAAAACATCAACAGTTTATTAAAATGAAGTTATCTTCTCACAAATTGAAGTTTATTTGAATATTTTTGAAATTCCCAAATTATGTTAGATGCTTCTGTATACGCCTGTATAATTTTATTTTTTTCTAAAACCTTAGAAATTTGAATAACATCTACAAAATGTATGTATTTGTACATTTATGTGCAGCGAAGATTTTGCAACCATCCCTAAACTTGAAGATATCAATGAAGATATATCTATACAATAAACAAAAGTATAAATACCATGGGAAATTTACATCCAAAAATGATAAACTAAATTGTTTGCATTGTGAATGGACTTTGCCTAGATAAAACCATCTCTGATAAGCAAATTGACTTTCAATGAATTGCAGTGTAAATGCTGACTTACAAAATCTTCAATCAGCTCCTTGATGGCTGACACCATAAGAATGAGCAGGAGAGGTAGTGCAGTTGTGTAGCGCCCCGTTGGGGAAACATTTGGGATTTGCTGCAAAACAAAATAACTGAGCTAGTGAGTGGGTATGGCTTTACTCGCACTTCGGCGCAGTGGTGACTCAGCATAACAACACTGCCACAGGCTAATTTGCATATCATGTGACCGGACTTTTCTCTTGTTTTTAAAAAAACACGTTTTTTCGGAAATCAGTATAGAATGGACTAACACAAGTATTTGGGGGTGCTTAACACATTGTTTTGCATAATTATATAGATATGCTACTACAACTGCGACAGTGAATTTCATGACAATATATATCTATACATCAAAGTGACCGTATCGCTAGCTCTCCGTTGGGCTTCGATGACAGCACGTGGAGCCGTACGACCAATGTAAACAAAGGATAACTACGCAAAAAACAGATAGATGTTCACGTATTAGCATACTTTCTTAATGAACCGTAAACATTCTTTGACATTTGTTTATGAAAATGTGTGGACTTGTCAAACATGAAACGGATGAAAAGCATATGCAATATCTTGGATGGACTGTGAAAGATGTGACAAATCATCACATGGTGCTGGCCTGTGGCAGAGGTACTATGCTGGCTGGCTGGCTGCCAGATGCATGGAACTCTGGGTAGGAGAATGGGCTTTACTCTGTTTTTTTAAATATTCCTGCTATGCCAAGGTGGAGGGACAGCAGAAATGGGATTCGAACCCGGGTTTCGGTGTGACAAGCCAAGGCTTTCACCACTGGGCTAACCAACTGCCTCTTAAAACTAAATGAACATGGCATGGTAATTAAACACAGACTGGTGCTCCCTTCTTACCAGTGTGAGCCACATTTCAGGTTTCCATCAAATACATTCCACCAAGTCATTTGCTAGTTTCAATAAATTAATTATTAAATAATGGGTTTGTTTTAAACTAGGTCTCAAATTGCCACATTACTGTTGACCTTACCTGTATAAGGGCAATGAAAAGGAAGAATATATTGGCATATTTCCGGAACTGCTCGAAGAGGAACTTAGGGAGAAAGGTTAATATGTTGTACTTGGCCGTACTGAAAGAACAAAATTGCATAATTGGTGAAGTGAAATAGGGTTTAACGTCGCATTCAAGATCATTGCACTTATATAGTGATATGCATGCACGTGTGTGTGTCTGCTTGTACTAGTCCGGAGTAATGCTGGCTTCATAGTGCTAGCTTACTGAGATACCATGCTGCAGTTTAACACGAGTACCCCACTCAGACACAGTATACCGACTGTGTTGACCTGTCCTTGTTTTATCCCTTTAATGAGCGCCAGGCAGGGTAACAACAAGAAACATCTTTTGATGTCTTTTGGTATGACGCGTCTGAGGACCAAACCTCGTGTGGCATTACACGGCCAAGGATCGAACCACTGACCTGCCGCTTTCAGGGCAGACGTATTGCATAATTGACACAAGTTGGTACATTTGAATTCACATAATGAGTGACCCTTACTAAAACAGTACAAGTGTGATTCATAAAACGATTACAAAGAACAAGGAAGGATACGCACTTTTTTGGCCTATGGGAAATGTAAACTTTGAAAGTTACAGAAAACTTTGTCATAATGTAATGAACATTACAACACAACCATGTTTCCGCCATGGCTCCTGGAATTTCTAGGCTAATTTCTAAGGTTGCTATAAATGATATGTAACATGTTGTTAAATGACAACTTAGTCCAAATATGCACCCAAAACTTTTGACACATCAAACCAAACTTGGTGCCTTATATAAGTATCATTTTGATTTTCAGTAGAATTCTATTATACACTGCAAACTGAGCATACTAGACCTGACTAGACCTAGAAAGACTCGGGCTAGAGGTAAAAGAGACTGTTCTCCATCTTATCATTGTTATGACAGAAACATGACAACTTCAAAAACACAAGTCCAGCAAATTATGTTTTTTCACATAAGCTAATAATAGTCCAATAAACAATGCTAAAATCTACTGAAAGTGATCCTGAGTGACAGGGTCAGCCTAGTAGATTCAAATCATTTTAGACAAAGACAGGAAAAAATATATTGTTGGTGATATGGTCGAGAGACTGACATAACTGAAGTGTCCACACAGCACACCTGATTTCATTGTGGCAGAACTTGGAGAGCTGCGGTCCATTGATCCGGATAACTCTCTGCTGGTGGTGGTCCGCCTCCTCAGTGGTCTCGGACGCCTGTGCCTCCTCCATATGCCGATAATCTGAAATACAGACACAAGATTAACTCCCTATGTTCTCAGACAACTGTATGGGCTCTGTCGTAAGACTTAAGTATCTATTCCGTGGGGATTCCATGTTAGAATAGGTCCCCAGCAACCTATGCTGGTCGTGAGAGGCAGCATAATGGATCAGGTCGTCAGGGTCAGTGACTTAGTTGATTGCATGTCATCGTATTCCGATATCATACCTCGGTTCTCACAATATTGATCACTGGACTGTCTGGTCCAGATTCGATTATATACGGGCTACTGTTAGACATCAAGTATAACGTTACACCACCAGTCATTGGTTTGTCTGAACCAATCACTTGAAACAATCAGATTTCATCATTCTCATTGCCGTAGATCTATGTTAAAGTATGATCATCTTAGCGCTAAGATAACTTTGTGGAACGGGCCCCGATCCAATATAGTGCAGGATGCAATGACTGGAATAAACAATGTTATCACACCTCCATGTCAGAATGGTTCACATGATCTTGATAAAATTCTATGTATCCCGTCTGGAGGGAAATAAATTTTGAGAGGGGGAATCAATCCTTTATACCCCCCCATGAACAATACAGGATGCACGTGGATTTCTGAGATGGAGTATAAATCCCTTATACCCGAGTTCGAAGCAAAAGAGTTAACCTCAGCTCAATCGAACATCTGTTTCTTATCAAATTGAATTTGTTTTAATTTCTTTACAATGTCATACTAAAACACATCGTAGGATACATTCATTGTAGCAGTATCTGGCGAGTGGAATTAAACCTATCGAGGGACGCATAAAACCACATGTACGCCTTGTGATACTGCTTCAACTCATATTGACCCTGTGTGGAATGGAATAGATCCCCAGCACTTTACTGCTTGTCATAAGAGGCGACTAATTGGATCCGATTGTCTGGCTTGGTGACTTGGATGATTCTGCGACATTGCCCATTACATGAACTGCTTCATTATTTTCAGACCACCATGATAAAGCTGGAATATTGCTGACTGCAGACTAAAACAACACACAAGTCATAAAACGTTGCTTAATTACCCAACCTCTCCCCTTACAGATTTTATAAACCGGTACCCCCATTCTCAACATACACACCCCACCCATTCACTCACTCACCCATCTCACACATCCACTCACATCACCAAACAAACTCATTCACAGTTATCAAAGTCAGTACATTGATTTACCAGTGATACATGTATACAATAAAATTACAAGTTTTACTGGTGTAAAAACATGTGAATAATCATGATAATAACAGAAACTGTTCAACCATCAGCTGACGCAGATTCTCTAGTATTTCATGGTAGGACATAAAATGCATAACATTCACAGTGCCCTCTACCAATATATTTCTGCCCATCTTTGATCTCTGAAATTTAATAACCAATGTTTCAGGGTTGTGATTCACCTGCAAACAAAGAATATCAACTTGTGAAACAAAAGAACTGTATTTCGGTACGAATCGTATCGCACCCATAGTATCGGGATACGTTTTGTATCACAACAACACTGTATCATCACACCTCTAATTTCAGACACCTATACTATCAAACAACAGAGAAAAATTCCTTTCAAGCATTTCAGTTATACAAGTCCTGCACCACGACTATGGAATGTATCATTTTTAGGCATTTGTTTTTACAAAAAGCCAAGGCAAGTCTAGATCAAACTAACCAAGTCTAGTTTGCTTTATCAAAACAGCAGAAGAGGAAGGTTGTTTCGAAGAAAAAATTTAAAGACATGTTTTCATTGACTAAGTGTTAGTCTTGCATTTCAGATCACAACCGGCACTCACTCCCCCTCTCAATCAGAGACAGTGAACCGCAGTGGTGTGGCAGTAGCAGTAACATGGCCTTGAATAAGAACTGCTGACCAGAACAGTACGAAGTCCTCATACCAACCTCCAATCAAATAAGACAACCCCTATGAACACAACACCAACAATTGTGACCCGCCAGGAGAGTAAGTGAGTGAGTGAGTACGGTTTTACGCCCCTTTTAGCAATATTCCAGCAATATCACGACGGGGGACACCAGAAATAGGCTTCACACATTGTACCCATGTCGGGGATTGAACCCGGGTCTTCGGCGTGACGAGCGAACGCTTTAACCACTAGGCTACCCGAACGCCCCCCAGCCAGGAGAACAGGGACCTTATGAATGCTGGGATACAACTGTGCTGTTACGTCATAAAGACGTTTGACATCAACTTTCGCCGTGAAGCTGCAGAATCGCTGATGCAGCGTTAAGCTTACTTCCACAAAAATCGCCATGTAGGCAGACTGTACACAAATATCTTATTTTTCTCATTAGCTCGTAATCTTATAAAACATTATTTCAAAACATTTGTCTTCTTACAATTAATCAGTCACCATATCTAAATTATTACAACATACATTCTTTCAAGACTGAAAATAGGATTTTGCAGAAAATTAGTTCAAATGTTTGATTCCATGTATGTCTGTAATACATATGAATTGTTGCTTGTGATTTATATTTTTGTTTCTAAAATACTGTAGTTTTAAAATATAATAAGAAGTCAAAATTTGATTTTTCCCCCATGAGGTCCCTTATTTCCTAGTGGGTCACATATACAGGTTTTCAAGACTGCTACAAGGCCAACAAACAGGCAATTTGTGAAATATCCCACACAAGACATATTCCTAACAACCAGCATACACTAACATTCATTCATGCAACCTCTACTACGGGAACCAACCACAAAGAGTGCACAAGTACCTGGATTGGTCAGGCCAAAGCCCCCTAAGCGACAAGAGCAGATATGTACTTCCTATCATGTATTGGTGAGAAGATCACACGTTGGATGGTGGAATCAATACTTGAGGCTAGCTGACTCCGGTTGGGACTCCCCTCAGCTGGGAGTGCGGGGGAGAGTTGAAGCCATTCAAACAGAGTGTGCCAGGGCTTCCATGATGGACCGGTCTTGGAAGACATTGACTGCAGTAGAGGGTCATTGACCTTCACAAACACTCACTTCTTTGACAGTGAGTGAGTGAGTGAGTGAGTGAGTGAGTGAGTTGGGTTTAACAGTTTGTTGAACAGTATTCCAGTTTTATAACTGCCTGTCAGTTTAATGTGGGAGGAATTTGAGCCCAAAGTGATGCAGGTCTCAGATGTTGACCATGTTGGTGAAACCCACAAGCACTGGTATGGTGCTGACAAACCCAGAAACATAATCAGGGCGACCTGGTATTTGGTTCCTCTCAAATAGGTTCCTGTCGAATAGGTTCCTGTCAAATAGATTCCAGTGGAATAGGTTCCTGTCAAATAGGTTCCTGTCAAATAGGTTCCTGTCGGATAGGTTCCTGTCAAATAGGTTCCTGTCAAATAAGTTCCGGTCAAATAAGTTCCTGTTGAGCAGTTGATAACATGAGCAACAATCTACGCTGTTAGAATATACCAACATCCAATCAGATGGACCACACATGCCTCCCACATCAGCTCTTCTGATACGACATGTACAGGGTGCTGGGGCCCACTCGGATCCCATCCTAATGTTACCTTAGCAGGGAGCTGACATGCCCTGGACAGCGACCCCTAAGTCCCTTGCTCAGTGGGAAAACCCACAAAGGCCAAAAGCATAAGATTAGTAGTTTCCTTTTCTCACATAATTCACATAACATGTATAACTTCAAGAAAATTTACAAATTTTATGATCGTTTTGGTCTTAACCTCTGTATGTTTGAAAACATCAGGATACTTTTTTATTATACATGTAACGTGTATTTTGCTATCAGGAATACATGTGAGCCATATTGGTTCATTTGTCCCCTGGTTAATGAAACCTTGGCTGTTTCAAATCACCCACCCAGTTTACAGTGCCTTGTGCTGAAATAAATCCAGCAGGCAGGGTTAAGAAGTGTGCTAGAAATTCAACAGGCTAAAGGTCAGAAGAAACAAAATCAACCAATTCAGAGACGGCCATGAACCATGTCACAAGGCCTATAAACACGTTAAACACCTGTGCACATCTCATTCTTACGACACATAAATGAATCATAACATGGATACCTACTAACTCCTAACAACATGTCAGTCACAAACACACATTAAATGAATTAAAAAGTGTCAAAAAAATTCCATAATCATGAGAAATCTCTACTAGAAGCTAAGCCCACTATACAATTCCGATCATGCCATAAGCATATGTTTACGAACCCCTACCAAATGATAATGACACTAGGTGTTCACAAAAAGTCGAAAACATGCACAAACCCAAGTGGAAGTTGGCCCACGGTGATGCAATTCCAAGTACGGCAATGTTTTCCCAGTGAGATAAGATGACTACAACACTGACATCTCTGAGCAGCTGTGTATGGAGTTGTGTATCCCTGGACTGGTGACAGTCAACATGTAAATGGGGACACAGAGACTGCCAGTTTCAACATACAAAGCCCAACTACAAACACAAAATGAAGACAGCTAGCCTTTCCACAGGAAAGAAGTTTTGATGAATGAAAACAAATCAATACTTTCATTTAAGGCTTGTTGTTTTTCAATTTTTGTATTGTTCAATAGAATCTGAACTGTATATGCTTTGGAACTCAATTAGCACGTAAATTCTACACAAACATCTACATCAAATATAATTTAAAGATTTATAATACAGTGTGTAGATTAATTTTCAGAGCAACAAGAATTTCATGCATTTTGATGATTGCTATATATTTGCAACTGATACGATAACCACCACAACCCAGTTTACAAGATACCGCCATGTCAGAATGATGAGATCTGATTGGTCCACGACTCCACGTAACGTTGATAGAATACTGTGTAACCTGCCTTGGAGGGTAATAAATTTCTCCGCAGCATTAAACAACACTCACTCACTCGACTTCTGAGTGAGGTAAAGCTCCCCCTACCAACCCAGCATAAATTTTGCTGAATTAAACATTATAGAACCCTATCCCTTGGCAGGAAAATTGAGCCATCGATAATCTGATAATATCTTAAATGAACAATTA